TCTCTCTCTCTCTCTCTCTCTCTCTCTCTCTCTCTCTCTCTCTCTCTCTGGTTATAATAGTGCTGTCTGTGCCTTGGTAAAACAAGCTCGCTCACACTTGTATTAAACAGGGAGATTGCCCCATAGAATAATATAAACTTATTTTGTTAATAATTGATAGTAGCTTGAAAAGAAATGAAAGACCTTTGTAGTCTATTTTTTTAAATCACATTCTTTTAAATGCTGGAGAGTAACATTATAATAGAAGCCAGAAAAAAAAAACCTTCGCTGTTGAGCATATTTGCTAAAGGACAGATAAACATTTCAAGAAGGTTCTCAAGGAAGAGATAAAACATTGTTCTGTGTAGTTGAAGTTAACACTGGCTGGCTCAGGACTCTAAAGAAGTATCCGCTCCCTATGAACAGGGTATCAGCAAAGGCTCCCAATAGCAGGAATCCATCTGGTCATCTGAGGTCATGTAGTCTGGACTCTGGGACCTCAGCTGGGTCATGTGTCCCTGAAAGGTCCCAATCATCTAACTGTGTAGTTTATCACCTGCCTCTGATATGCTGACGATATTCACAGATAATTCACATATGCAATGATATATGTTCTGGTCCAAAGTCTGCTTTTTTAATAATGGGTCCTGGAGAATTTTGGATTGCCCTCTTGAAACAAAGGAGGCTGGGTCCATTAACTACCACCCTGGCCTGGCTATCCTGCAACTACAGACTGTGTGAGAATGTGGATGTGTAAGGCTAGAGAACATGTGGTAAAGGCAATCTAGAAAGAAGGTGAATAGACATGCTAGCACTGCCTTCTGTCCAGACTTTTAGAAAACTCCACCTAGACAAGGGCTGGCCAGGAAGATGACTTCAAGGCAACACCCCTGTAATCTGGTTTGCACATTATACCTAAATGACATGGCCTTGACCATTAGCTTATTGTTTAACCATGTATTTTGTTTTTTAACTACCCACTCTTTTGGGTTTGCGTAGTCACCTGTTCTTTCATTACAGGGATGGAAAGGAGACATTGGCCCTCCAGGATTTCCTGGTCCAGTAAGTGCATCTAGAGAGAACAATATTGTAGTTAAGTTCTTCCAAGTACTGAACAAGTTTTGAATCAGCATTTCTCATTAACTGTTATGATGAAAGTGAAAGCATACCCATTTTTATCAAGTCAGGGCGAAAACAAGTTGTTGTCATTATTTACCCATTTGGTGATAGATAAATATTTCGATTAAATTATGTTTGATTCCTAGAATGCACTAATAAAGCCCATCTTGGACTCTGACAAAAAAAAAAAACTTGGCCTCATCACAGTTTGTCCAAGGTGATGCTCTGTTCTCAAAGTGGAATAAGAAGGTTGCTGCTGAAGACAGCTAGGGTACCTAGGAACAAGAGAGCTTGGTCCTTCTATTTGCATGGCTCACTTTTAACAGCAGGCAGCTGAAGCTCGGCCATGAGTCTAAAGCTGGTCAGCAAGAATCTATCCCTACAACCCAAGCTCCACTGCCCTGGGAGCACCACCCTGCCTGGCGCAGACTTGATTTGATGACACTGCAGGGCACGTGAGACGAATGAGAGGGATCACTGGCTCTCAGTTCTGGCATCTGCTCATTCCCCCAAAGCAGTCAGTCTCCTAGTCAATGTGCTAAGCAGGGTTTCTCTATCCGACTATACAGGCTGTACAAATGACCCCGGATGGCAAAGAGTCCTAGGCTAGATTTGTTAGAAGTGTAACTCTCATGGCTGGAGAAAGGTTAAGAGTGCCTGCTGCTCTTTCAGGGGACCCAAGCTCGGTTCCTAGCATCCACCCTGGGCAGCACATATTACCCGTGATCCCAGCTTCAGGGGTCTTAAGCCTCTAGTCATTTTGGAAATCTGCACCTACATGCACATGCCCCCCACACACACATAATTAAAGTGAGGTGCTGAAGAGATGGGTAAGCAGTTAAGAAAAAACATTTAGCTTTGCAAAGGACCCGGGCTTAGCATTCGGCACAAACATGGTTCATAACTATCTGTAACTCCAGTTCCAGGGCATCCATTGACCTCTTCTGGGGACCAGGCACATAAGTGGGGCACCTGCATATATGCAGGCTAGCCCTCCCGTACACAATATATGTCTTTTTTTTAATGCAGTTCTCAGACCCCCAAGCTACACAACTTAACTCACTGAATGAAAATGGGTCCCAAGAATCTGTATCTTTCTATTTCAGATGCAAGTTACTGCCAAATATCTTTTATGAAATTGCTAGGAAAGTGTGATGGGCTGCTTTGCTTTATGAAATCATAAACTGTAGCCGAGCCCAATACCCGGCATCTCTACACATAACTGTGGAATTTATGATGAGCCCTATTATGTTATTGCTGCTGGTAACTTCTGTGATTTAGTAAACGAAGCTTCCATGAACATTCTTGTTGCTTTATTTTGTAACTGAACAAATACATAATGCGGTGGTTGAGACACATCAATAAGACGTGTTTCTAGGGCTAAGGATGTAGCCCTGTGGCCCAGTGCTTGCAAGCACAAGGCCCTGCATTTGACTCCCATCACGGAAAGAAAACAAAATTTAAAAAGCGTAATTAAACTAAATGTAGGTTGTAACATGACGGGCTGGCTTGTTGGGGTTTCTGTCCCTCCCAGTACCCCAACAGCCGGCAAGCAACAAAGAAAATCACACACAAGACTCCATAAGGTTATAAACTGATTGGCCCATTAGGTCAGGCTTCTTGTTAACTCTTATAACTTAGATTAACCCATTATTCTCATCTATGTTAGCCATAATGGCTCAGTACCTTTTCCAGGGGGGCAGCTTACATGTTGCCTCTTCGGTGGTCTGTGCAGGAGTGGCTGAGGAACTTCTGCTTCCCAGAATTCTCCTGTTCTCATTGCATCACCTCTACTTCCTGTCTGGTTTTCCCGCCTATACTGCCTGCCTGGCCAATCAGCGTTTTATTAAAATATGATTGACAGAATACAGACAATTCTCCCGCATCAGTAGGTCCAGCTGAAAGCTTATATAAGTGATGCTATCAGAAAGGTGATCTTTGTCTTTACATCTGTCCACATGTATGAGCATGGCCACCATATTTCTGCTAATATCAAAACCTCTGAACCCAGGAAAACAAGGAAATTCTCTTTTAGGCCCAAATGAAGCGACTGAAGAAAAAGGGGTTGGTGAGCAGTGACGTTCCTACTTATTCTCTGCCTTCTCCTTTAAGACAGAATATTATGACGCGTACCTGGAAAAGGGAGACAAAGGAATGCCAGGCCCACCTGGGCCCAAAGGTGCTCGTGGCCCACAGGGTGAGGATGGATTTATCACCATTGTTCTGTCTTTCTTTCAAAGTGCTGAGCAGGATTTATTTATAGAGCTATGAGAGTTTCCAGGTGAGGGAGGAAGGGGAGTTCCTACTTTACGTCTGTGGAGATATTTTTTGTGTTTCCAATTTTCATATTTTTCATGGACATTTTGTAAGTGGTATACCCTAGAAGCTGAATGGTTAGGATGGTGACACTGTCGTAGGAGATTTTTAAAACTGGACAGGGAGTGTCTCTAACTGGGCAATCAATTAATTGATGTCATGTGTTCCCAGGTCCTAGTGGTCCCCCTGGAGTTCCTGGAAGCCCTGGTATGTTTGTGTTTCTTTTGAGTACACATAAAAATGCTATTAAAGAGGGGAAAGCCACTGTTTTGTGATTTCATATGATTTGTAAAAGGCGATTTGCCTTTGCTGATCTCAGTGGGTGTCAAGCTTCTTAACAGCTATCCCTGTGGCCCACGCTCGCAAAGCCACGGACATTAAAGTGATACTCAAGGGTTTTAAATGTAAACATGTAACTTTGGGGTAGGAGCAGGAGCCCCAGTCCTCAGACGTGGCACAGAGGTGGAAAGCACTGACGTCACAGCAAGTAGGTTGGTTGAAAATAACCATTTTTGTTAAATACAAAGGCCTGCAGGGATGCCTACATTATAATTAAACTTTTTCTGTAAAATTTCTTTTTTTGTTGTTGGTGTTGTTTTTTTGTTTATTTTATGTGGTTTGGTGTTTCAAAACCAGTTATCCTGTGTAGCCGTGGTTGTCTGAAACTCTTTATATAGACCAGGCTGGCCTTGAACTCAGTGATCCACCTGCCTCTGCCTCCTGAGTGCTGGGATTAAACACGTGCACTACCATGCATGGCATTTTTTTCTGTAAAGTTTTACATTTCTATCTCCCGGAGATAAAGAATAGCATTAGAGATGGGTTCACAAGAACCCATCAATGGTGTTTGCATTATGTTCTTTTTAAAAGAAGCAAATTTAACAGATACAGAAATTGACGAATATTGTGTGTGCCTGCACATATCTACTACTACTACTACTACTACACACACGCACACACACACACACACACACACACACACACACACACACACATATGTTAGTGGTGGGTATCCCCTAAACCTAGAATGTATATAGACTTATGTATGCATGGTAGCGATGGGTATCTCCTGAAGCAAGAATGTATACAGACATATGTATACATGTTAACAGTGGGTAGCTCCTGAACTAGAATGTATACAGCCATATGTACACATGTTAACAGTGGGTAGCTCCTGAAGCTACAATGTACACAGACATATGTATACATGTTAACAGTGTTAATCCTGAAGCTAGGATTTATATAGACTTAGGATGCATGTTAGTAGTGGCTATCTCTTGAAACTAGAATATGTATAAAATTATGTATGCATGTTAAGGGTGGGTATCTCTTGAAGTTAGAATGAGCAGCTTCTCAATGAGAATTTAATGAAACTTCCTTCTCCACCCCAAGACCCTAAGAAATGCACCATCTCCTTTAAGAAGGCAGTGAACAGAAAGGTACAAGATTCTGAAGCAGGATTACAATTAAAAGGATTTGGCTTTGGGCTCAATTAACAACCTCACTCATTTCTTAGCTCTTTGGTGGTGAGATCACTCCTCCTAACACTTAAATTGTTTGTGAAGCAGAAGTTCAAGATGGCCCCTCATCGCGACATTACTGACTTAGACTTGGGTCTACACCATCTAGCCTAGCATCTCTATGCAGATATGCCCACCTTTCCCCACCTTTTAACGGTGGCAATGCATTTCAATTGTGACTTGTTCTTTCTCATTTGAGAGTGCCAAAATTAAGCGTCCTCTAGTTTCTAATTTTAAAAAAATCGACAAAGTAATACATGTGCAAGAACTCCTCACAAGTCATTGAACATAAAACTTACAGCTCATCCCAGACTCTGCTCCAGCTCCCTGTACCAAATCACATGAGTCAGCTTGTTGGAATGAGCTGTTTCGCACTTTGTCTTAATATGATGCCATCTAACAAGGCCGCCAAGGAAGGAAGGATAGTCTCTTTTTGTTTTACAACCTTTAAGTAGCTATCAACTTCACAACTCTTGTAAATAAGAATCTACCTTCCTGTTTTCATGTGAAAAATAAACATATTCATCACACTACCAATGGCTCTTTCTTCCAAGGACTGTCAAGACCTGGCCCCAGAGGACCTCCTGGATGGCCAGGCTTGAGAGGAAGTAAAGGGGAGAGAGGACCCCCTGGAAAAGGCACTATGGGCCCTCCTGGACCCCTGGGCTGCCCGGGTTCACCAGGTCCACCAGGCCCACCAGGACCTCCAGGACGTCCAGGTAAAAATATAAAATGAAGTATTTAGGAGTCCATTGCCCTATGACAGATACTTCCTAAGAACAACTACATCAATGTCATCTAAACTCAGACACGGTCACATACCTGTGTACAATCTTAGAAAGTATAAATAAAACAACGTACACCTTTGGAAGAGCTGGACAGCACACATCTTCTCTAGTAGAGAAACTTCTAAAGGTGCAGCTTTCATCAGAAGGTTGGAAGAAATGCATGTAAAATCATCTCTATATTCAAATTTGTTCTTTGGGAAAACGCAAATAAAAATTAACTCTGTGTGTGTGTGTGTGTGTGTGTGTGTGTGTGTGTGTGTGCAGTGTGTGTGTATTTGGTGGTAGTGCTATTGTTGTTTTGTGTTGTGTCAATGTTGATCATTGAACCCGGGGCCTCATGCATCTCTTGTATCAGACAAGCACTCTAACCACTGATATACACAGACAAAAGACTGATCTCTGATGATGTCTTTTCCTAGGTAACATTCTTTTTCAACCGGGACCACCTGGTGACCATGGAGTGCCAGGCAATGTAGGACCTCCAGGAGACCCAGGAATTGATGGGCCAAAAGGTTTGTTCAAACCTAGTGTTATGTTGTTAAAAAAAAGAAAGTCCACTTCCATCACCGCTTCACTAATTTTTCTCCCTCTCCAAGCAACAGTGATCAGAGAATTACCTCTTTTCCAACCAGTTACCTAGAAGTATCCATTTATCTGTAAGTTAGTAAATCAGTTAGCGTGCTAAGCCTGACGTGAGTCTGTCCTACGTGCACAGGGAGAAACTGAAACAGTAGATGCTTTGTGTGTAGATTCTTCAACTTCCCTCTCTCAAAGACTCACAACTCACAAGAGAACATACACAGAAATGTAAATTAATACCGGGATTAGTTTCACAACATTAAAAATGTTTAAATAAATACGGTGGGTGGGGAATACCTGTCCTTTCCGGCCACTCTGTGTGGCTTGAAAACAGATTCATGCGCTGTCCCGTTGCAGGAGAACCAGGCCTTCCATGCACAGAGGTCCATTGCATCCCAGGGCCCCCTGGTCTCCCTGGATTTCCAGGATTAGATGGTGTCAAAGGCATCCCAGGTACGGACACTTTGTGTGAAACTTTGCAGCTTTTGTGAGGACAGAAAAGGAAACAGACTGGGACCTTGGAAAGGGGGTTAGGTTGCCTGGGTGGCATAATGAACCTAAAGAAAGAGTTCCGAAGTCACTATGTTACCATGAAGTCAGTCAAAATCTCATAGGCCTGACATCCTTTTCCAAGTTCCATTTGGGTAACTAAGTGCTAATGAGGCCTGTTCCCTCCGGGGAATTGTAATGGGAGTCCTGCAGGGGACCCACAGAGGAAGCAAGGGACCCACCTTCGCAAACACAAAGTCCTTCTCGGTCAGTCCCACTTTTGAGAGAGTCGACGACATCCACAGTGTTTGCTCGTCCTGTAAGGGGTGAGGGCGATAAAGAATTAGCAGCCATGCCCACAGCTGTAGGGGTGATGGTGTTAAGAAAGCCTGAAGGGCGGGCACGCTTGAGAAGCCTGCCAGTCACTCGGCTCCAGCCGATTATACTCCAGCATTCTAAGTCCTTTTCCATAAGAAAGATTTTTATGTAAAAGCTCGAATTATTTTATTTAGCATTAAGTTAATTTCTAATTCAAAAAAATTGCTGGATCAATTTTTAAGGGAAAGAACATCATTGGCTATGTTATCTTTTCATCTCTGGGACAGACAAGAGAATCACACATTTGGAGAGCTATATATCTGAAGATACTTGCTTAGCACTCATGACAATGGCTAAAAGCTGAAAACATAGCTTACATGGTGAAAAACAGCAGTTAGCTAAAAAAAAATAAAAATAAAGAAAAAGATAACCTAGCCAGATAACAGTCAATGTTTTGAAGTGAATCTAGACATCTATACTTATTGACAGGTTTACAGGTATATTGTATGATCCTAAAGTAGTATATACATGAGTCTTATGAATTTATGGATGTGAAAATTTACAATATATACTAAAATTGAGCAAATGCTAACTTTTTCATGGTAGATTTACAGTTTTTATTTTCTTCTGTATAATTTTCTTTCAATGAGCCTATATTATTTTTACTGTAAGAAAAATAAATATATAATATATGTGCCCTTAAAATTGCAAGGTTGAGACAGCTGGGAAGCTGGGATCTAAGTGTTCTGGTTGACCACTTTGCCTGCATGGATGGGATAAGAATTCTCTTTCAGTCTTCAGCAGGGAATGTTTTGTCTTCTCCATATATGGCATGGCTCCGCTCAACAGATCGTAATCAATTGCTTTGCAGGAGGACGAGGTGCCCCTGGCATGAAAGGAAACCCAGGGGACCCCGGAAGCCCAGGTCTCCCAGGATTGGCAGTAAGATCTTATGGTTATAAACTTTAGCTTCAGCCCGGAATGCTGGGTCCTCTAGAACTATGACTACATCCCACATCCCACATATGGGTCCGCAGGGAATGGCAAAGTGTAGGTTTTGAACTCAGGAAACAGAAGGTGCGGTCACAGGTGCTTGTAGAGTAAATGAGTGAATTGGTGAATTTATTTATCCACATGCCATTTTTAGTGGTGGCAGAGATAGAAATTAGATCACTGCCTGGGGCTGAGTGTAGAACTGGGATTGATGATAGAGGAATTCGAGGGTATCTGTGGGCACAATGAAGATGATTTAATGCTGATTATGGTTAAAATCATTGAATTTTACTGATATATAATCATATATACATATATATATATACTGGTAAAGGATAAATTTTATGGTATGTAGCTTATACCTCAATATATCCTTATATGCCTTCATATCTCAGTATAGCTGTTACAATTACTGATCATCTGTTATTTTACTATTATATACAACCCTGTTATTAATTCTATTCATTATTATAATGAACCAGAAAGTAATATTTGATAACTAAGAGATGCATGTTAGAATTTATCAACACTCGAACACAGTCTGAATTCTGATGCTGCTATGGCATGTAGAATTTCTACCACTATGTCAATGAAATAATTATTGTTTTAATCCCAGTGACTTATAATGTCTAGGTGGCTTCTTTTTCAGTTTGGGAAGTTAAAAAGCAAAACAAAATAAATAAAATGTTTGGCGTGGTATTTGTGGCACAAAAAAAAAGTTCATGTTAACAGCTAACTTTGCTGACTTATACCTGTAATCCTAACACTGGATATTGAAACAGGAATATCCAGGAACTTCCAGGCCAGCTGGTCAACAGTTTGAGACTCTGTCTTTTAAAAGCACTCCTCCCCGCCTCTACCAAAAGGAATGTATGCTAAAAGATACCCATGTTCTAGTATTTTCCTCTAAAGCAGAAGAGAGACTCAGAGACCAAGGCAGGCACATGGGCAGTCTCTGATACGGGCACTGGGCTGTCTACCCTTCAGAGAGCAGTGCCACGGGTCTTTGTGTACAATAACTAATTAACCTCTAACGTATCTGTTTAATAGTATTGTGTATTAGGTGTTTTATATAAACATACAACTACGTATGTCTGTCAACATATAAATATTAAATGTGTTTTAGGGGAAAATCCATGTTTATTAAAATTTAAAAGTTCTTGACAATGTTTTTAAAGACTGAGCAAGAACAGTTCTACCAGAGCAGAAGGCCGACTCCCTTTTGTGTCACCATAGGGATTCCCAGGGGACCAAGGGCACCCAGGACTGAAAGGAAGCAAAGGTGAAACACCTCTACCCTGGGGGCAAATGGGTGACCCAGGCGAACCTGGGCTCAGAGGCCTGCCAGGGAGAAAGGGCTTCGACGGAATTCCTGGAAGTCCAGGAGCAAAGGGATTGCCAGGACCTAGAGGTGAACCGGTTCGTATTTAGAATTTTTTTTTTAACATTTTCCACTCTGTAATAAAACACTCAGAATCCAGGAGATAATGTGATCACCAAAATTACGTAGTTCTTCACTCTAGCCACAAAATAAGGCACCTTCAAAATAGCAGTAATAACCCAAGCAGATACTCATAGTATTTGGACAAAATGAGTTCCTTTCGATGGCTTAGCCCAACTGAAACTCTATGCTGATGACAACGCTGGTTCACACCCTGTATCTCAATATGTGGGTCAAATGCATTTGTAGAAAAACTCCAAAAAAATGGGGAAAAGATGCGGCTCAATTGGCAGAGCCCTTCCGCACACAGAGGAAGTGCTGGATTTAATTCTCAGCATGGAATAAACGGGACAGGAACGCCCATATTTGTAATCCAAGCTGGAAGAAGTCATAGCAGAAGTTCAAGGTCATTCTTAGTTACATAGAAAGTTCTAGGCCAACACTGGCCATGTGAGATCCAGTCTCCACAAATAAGGAGAGGAGCCTGACTGGAAAGGAAGAAAAGGAAAGGAGAGAAAGTTACTAGCAAAGGAAATGTTTAGCAAACACTTTGGGGATTGTTCTTATTCTTCTAAGTAAATGCATACAAGATACAATATTTAGGGATATGTTAGTCAAATGAAGAGATAAAATGTCTAAAACATTTCAGCTCATATAAATATTATTCTTTTCCTGGGATAGAATTTCTCACACATTCAACTGGAAAGGTCATAGGGTGACACACCACGGGTGTCCCACAATGTACCTATGAGAAGTTTGCCCAAGTTAATCTACAAAATGCCAGCTTTACCAATTCTCCAAAGGGTTAATCAGATTTATTCAATACAAAGGATCTCAAGTGGGACAATTTGGGGAACTTGGTAAGCAAGTCTGAAGATATACTCACATACATACACATGTGCACGTGTGAAAACACACACACACACACACACACACTCATCAGTCATTTACAGATTCTCTTAACAAGGTAAATCCAACTCCCCCGAATGAAAATACAGTAGGCAGTTTTTCCTGGTGCATCTGCAGGGCCAGGGATTCCCAGACAGCCTCACTGGTACCCCTGTTTGTGCTTAAACTACCCTGCGGTAAGGAAATACTGAAATGAGACACTGCCAAACATGTTCCTGTTGTCACAGGCCCTGAGTGGAAGGAAAGGGGACCAGGGACCTCCAGGGGCTCCTGGATCACCTGGACCTCCGGGACCCGCGGGACCAGCTGGACCACCGGGCTATGGACCTCGAGGAGAAACAGGTCCAAAGGGAACGCAAGGAGTTCCCGGAGCCCCGGGACCACCTGGAGAAGCCGGTTGGTTAGTTTTTTCCAGTCTTGCTTTCCTGCGAAGTGGGGGATGGTTCTCACAGCCAACAAGGCTCTTTCAGAACTAATGAACATGTACCTAAAACTGTTCCTGGCAAATCTGTCTCCTCGGAGATTGGGAAAGGACAAGTAAAGGGTTACAGAGAAAATCCATTTTCCCCGTAACAGGCAGTTCATCTGAAACTTCCTATAATCATCGCTTACTACGACTGATATCAACACACTTTCCAAGGGTTGAGTAGAATTCAACTACAAGACTCTCAGGAGGGGCAAAAAGCAAAATAGAAATAACTAAGTAAATTAAATTAGAATAAATTGATCTGAAGAAGTGTCTTCCCTTGTATCTGTGACTCCAGGTTACAAACCACACTTCAAAACAGCTAAGATACGTGAAAATCATTGATAATAATTTTAAGCCCATGTGACTTTGGTGTCCCACAGGTACTGGAAATAATATCATGTCCCATTGAAATAGGTCCCTATTGTGGAGAGTTTTCAGCAAGTCATGCCTGTGTGGTATTTATCACTTCAGTGAGTACTTAAGCAGTGATTGGAAACCCATGCTGTCCGAATCATCTTTACCAAGATTCGGGTACCACACCGTAGTGTTTATACGTCATCAAGTGAATGTATATTTTTATCCACATATATGTAACCTTATTTAATGACATTTATTTTTTTTTAACTTGGAGACTATTGTTCTCATCCAGGGATTTAGCATGCTACATGGAAGCCCAAACCTAGCCCATCAGTGAATTTCGTGTGGTCCAAAGTTAAGAAGGGTTCCTATAGTGTTTTAGCAATTGAAGAAGATTTTAATAACATTCTGGTACAAATGAAAATTTATACAATCCAAATTACAGTGGCCATACATGAGATTATTGGAATTTAGCCACACTTCTGTGTTCTTGGCGGCTACTGAACAATGACCAAGCTATGTAACTGTAATAGACCAGAACTACAAAACCCAAATTACTTACTGCCTGGACCTTTATATAGTTTATTGACTCTTGCTTAATCCTTCATCCAACCCTCTTCTGTTCTTTCTAAATATGAGTCTATCAAATTCTTCTATCATGCTTTCATAGTTTTGAATGAAGCCATTTTTATTATTATTAACATACAATGGTGAGAAGACTAATCACAAACATGGTTTAACATTGGCCACTATTTTCAGAGCATTGCCTTGAATATTTATCTGCAAGGTGATCATTATTTCCATAGTGACAGAGAAGGAACTTCTCAAAGAGGTTAAGAAATAGACCCATGCTCACGGAGCTTGCAAACAGCAGTGCCAAGCTTCAAACCTGGGCCCTGTACTCTGAGTCAGTATACATCACTAGTTTTCCGTGAATACCAGCCATTCGATAAACTGGTACCCTGCCACTGTTCTCCAACTTCACTCCTTCTATCAATTCCTGGAGCAAGTAAGCTCTCGTTTCATAGACCAGCCTGCTGGGCTATTTTTTCTTTTTTAAAATAATGTATTTGTTTTTATTTGCATTGGTGTTTTGACTGCTTGCATGTCTATGTGAGGGTGTCAGATCTTGAAGTAACAGACAGTTGTGACCTGCTATGAGGGTGCTGGGAATTGATCCCAGGCGCCCCTGGATGCGCAGTCGTGATCTCAACAGCTGAACCATCTCTCCAGCTTCCCCTGCAGGGTTATTAAGTAAAGCAAGACTTCCACAGATGCCTATGAATATTTGCAGATCAGCTAGGAAAGTTTCTGCAGACTGGTTACTCCTGAACTACTTTTGAAACCCACAGAAACAGGGCTTGGTTTTATTTTCCTTGGGATGTGTTTAAAAATCCCTCTTAATAGTTCTCACGGTTGCAAAAACATACTTTAATACACAATATTACAATCATGTCTTTTCCTTAAGGTCTCAAAGGAGAACCTGGCATATCAACACCAGTTCCAGGTCCCCCAGGACCTCCAGGGCCCCCTGGGCAGGCCGGTCGCCGAGGTCTACCTGGTGAGTACCCCTCTTGCCAAATACAGTCCATGACATCAGATGGTGCTCTCACTTTCCTGGGAAAATACCACTCCCATTTTAAGGAAAAAAAATACGTTCATTGGATCTGGAAGAGAAAACAGGTGGGAACCATTCTGAAAAGCAAGCTTGCAGGGGGCTTGCTGATGTCCTTTGAGGGTATCCACAGGCTCCCTAGTGCTTCTGAAGCAACAGTTCCAAAAGAGAACGGATACAGTTGCTGACAGAGGTTATAGAGCAGAGTGATCCCCATGGCTTCTGCCGGGAGAGCAAGCAGCACCTACCCCACGGATCAGTGTGTTTCCCACAGCAACTTTACTTGAAACTTGATTTACCTACAAAAGTATTTGAAGTTTAATTTTGATTTATAGAGGAAGACATAGCACTCAAGATATTTAGGATCTTCTTAAATTATTTAAATTATATCATTTGTTTGTTTGTTTATTGGTTTTTCAAGATATGATTTCTCTGTGTAACAGCCCTGGCTGCCCTGGAACTCACTTTCTAGACCAGACTGGCCTTGAACTCACAAGGATCCACCTGTTTCTGCCTCCCGAGGCTGGGATTAAAGGCATGCACCTCCACTGTCCTGGGAAGTTACATTTTTAAAAATTCATAGCAGCTCCTGACCTCTAGCCCACTGGATAGGAAAGAAAGGCTGATGTTATATTAAAATTATTTCACAATTTCCAGAAAGTGCTGGGAGGACACAGGGAACACTGACATTTCTTTAGGAAAATAAATGAAGGAAATTCACTGGCGTGCGCATGTACGTGTTTTTAAGGTTTTCCTGGACCTATGGGAAAATGTGAGCCTGGTCTTCCCGGACCTGATGGTGAACCAGGGCTCCCAGGAACTGGACTTCCTGGGCCTCCAGGACCTAAAGGTAAATTAAAAACTGTGAAATGTAAGGTCCGCTGTGGATGCTTTAAAGCTATAACCAAGAATAAACTAGGAAACACTTATCATCTGTGGCGCAAACGATGCTGTCCAAGATTTTCCAGAAGTCTTAGGACAGTGTCAGGTGAAAAGACAGAATTCACATTGGTCCCGGCACCACATTAATCATATTTTTTTTCTTTCTGCACTTTAACATATTTATTTTGTGTGCCATGGGGATAAGGAGTACACGTGGAAGTTAGAGGACAAAATTGCCAGGCTCCTGTCTCTCTGTCTACCATGCGGATCCCAGGGATCGAACTCAGGTCAGCGGGCTTAGCAGCAGAAAACTTTATATGCTGAGTCATCGTCTCACAGGCCCACCAATCATGCTCTCTAAAAAAGCACAGAAAACAAGCAAAAAAACCAAAAACCTTGGAAGGTAATTCTCTAAAATGGTAATAGCAATTCTTTCTAGTCATAAGAATTTTTTTATTGAACTCTGCCCTTCTTGGGTTTATGTATTTCTTGACTCCACATAGTTTTAAGTAAGAGATTAAATACTAAATCCACACATTGGCCTGAGGCTATACAGTATGGCAGTAGAGTGTGTGTTTAGCATGGATAAGGCTCTGAATTCATTCCATAGCATCAAACATAACAAAACCCTAGGCTTCCCTGTGAGCATGAAAACAATTAGAGTAATTATTCTGCTTTAAGGAAAGATGCCAGGGCTGGAGAGATGGCTGAGCAGGTATAAGCAGATACTGCTCTTACAGAGTACTGGAGTGTGATACCCAGAACCTGGGTCAGGCATCTCACACTTGCCTATAACTGTAACCAGGGGGACCCTGGTGCCTCTGGCCTCTGTAGGCGTTGGCACTCATACTGACATGCCCACATACATAGACATAGTTGTAAGATGATAAAACAAATCTCTTCGACAAGAAAAAAGAAGGATACTGTTTTCATCAAAAAAGAGACATTCCAACAACTCCAGCTGCTTAGACTGAATAACTTGAGTGCACGGTGCCTCTGATAAGCACATCAGACAAAATCCAGGCCAGGATCCATTCATTAAAAAAACCTCAGGCACTGGACTATTATGTAGAATGGTAGGCTTTATGAAACCTTTGTGTTTGCTTCCCAACTGCCTAAATTGATTGTTAAAATACAACCGTTTTGATATTTCACCTCTTGTTAATGTGCCATTGTTGATTATTGCTCATCAATTGGACCCATGTAACACTAAGGTAACACTTAGTATATGAAAATACAACCCCCAAAGCAGGTTTGCCTCTAATTTCACAGATGTCTTCCTTCATGAACTAATGGAGCCTAGCCCATATTTTGCCTAGTCCTTCCTGGGCTTTCCATTAACAACCTGCATGCTAATTTTGCAACTCTGGATCCACTCTCTGGACAAATGCAGCAGTCTATGGGAAGCAGAACTAGCCTCAGAGCCAGGGGACCAGGGAGCTGTACTGCGGATGTATTCAGGGCCTGGCTCCACAACTCTGCATTGGAGTAGTTGAGGTTTAAGTCTTTTCTTTTTTTCTTTTTTTTTTCTTCTTATTGAAACAACTTTCATAGCCAAGGCAATTTGACTCGGAACTCAGTCTTTTGTCTTCGTTTTTGAATTGCCATTTTATCCATTGGTTTTATCATTATCCAAACATTCATCCAAGCATCTCTCTACCTGGATGCCTCATCAATGTATTTGATAAAGGAAATATTGCTCATAAACTTTCTCTGAGGCTAATCCCTAATGTTTATTGCTTTTGTTTTGTGTTTTCTATAGGAGATCAAGGTTTCCCAGGAACAAAAGGATCACCTGGTTGTCCTGGGGAACCGGGAAAGCCAGGCCGTCCTGGAGAACCAGGCCACCCAGGAGCCAAGGTCTGGAGCAACTGAAACACAGACTAAGTTCAAGGCGGGGCAATTACAATCAGTAGTTAAAATGCCCTTATTAGACAAGACACTTGGATTTAAAAATTATCAGTATATTTATAAAGATATTAATTTTCCAGTATATTTGTAGATATTAATTTTAAGTCCCTGTGGAAACTCACATTTCTATTGCTTTATTAATGACTTCATAAACATTCAGAGTATATAGGGACGCTCACATTTTCTTCAGTGGATGTGGACCGCATATCTGGAAGCAGTATTTTGTCGCAAGGTCATTGCCTAAAGTTGAAAGGGAAATATTTGCTGAACTGTGGTCTCTATGCAGTCAAACTCAGAGCACCCCTAGCAAGCAGAACTGAGAAGCACTGCACTGGGGACACTAACCTAATGTCTCTGCTGCAGGGAGAACCAGGGTTAGCCATGCCCGGGGAACCCGGAAAACCTGGCTTTCCAGGAGAAAGAGGCAACCCCGGGGAAAGTGGAGAAATTGGACTCCCTGGGCCTCCAGGCCTCCCTGGAACTCCGGGAAAGGAAGGACTTGATGGGCCTCCAGGTACAAGGCCAAATGTGATCAGCTTTCTCCTCGGCAAGCTCCACTATAGGTGCTCTGGGGGCTCTAAGCGCTTCCATCTCAGCAAATAAATCAGTTAAAAAGCCTAGTCCTTTTTCCATTGAGTGTGGCTGTTCTGTGTTCCTCCCCTCCTTACTTCTTCCTTTTTTCCTGAGTGTCCTCTATACAAGCATTTTGATGGTATTAAATAGAGGTGTGGTTTGGGAAGGTGAAGTCACAGAAGGATGAGGGGACAGCAGCGCTGGGACACTGGGCTTTGGCACCTGACCAAACGCCTGGACTCTCCATTGCAGGAGACCCAGGACAGCCTGGACCGCCTGGAGCAAAAGGAACCCCAGGGAGCTGCACACAAGGAACCAAGGGTGTCCAAGGACTTCCGGGCTTAAACGGATTGCAAGGGCAACCAGGTACGAGGAAAAGTTCAGGAACTAGGTAGGCAGATGGCTGGGTGGGTAGGTGGCCTCTGGCTCTGTCCTTTGCTGCGTAGTATGGAAACTGTCCAGCAACAAGTCCTGACTGCTGTTCACCAAGACATGTTCTTCTGGAAATATGACCCTGGTTTTTATGGATATTCCAATTAGCAGTGTGTACTGCTTATACGAAGAGACTCAAGCATAACATAGTGAGTTGACTTGTTCCTTTTATGTAAGGAAATATAAACCCCACCAACTGCTTAGATGATAAAGACAGAGAAGCAGGTTGATGAGTCATTAATATATATTCGTATGCATAGACTTTCAATCAGTGTTTTACTTTTAGAACTTCCATAAGGAAATAGTAGCTTTATGGTGATGAAAGCAGAGAGAGCGTACACAAAGCTACCTGTTTAGCTGCAAACTAAAATACGTAGTCGCTTACATCATAAGCAACATGAAGCCAATATCTATGAAAATAGACCCAAGGGAATAAGGCTGCATGACCCATTGACTGGGAAACATACTCTACCTACTTGGACCCCTTTCAACCAGATCTGGTACTAGCTCCTAGGAAAAGGTCGTTAGAACGCCGTGAGTGTCTGCAGACTACCATTCTGCTTACCTGTTGCAGATAAATTCATGGCTAACACCTTCATCATTACCGTGGCACCGCTGTTTGCAGACGCATATGGGAGTTCACTTCTTGGGAGCTGCCATGTAGGTCTGTGGTGAAAGGCTGGTAAATAGCATAGAGCGCAGTCCCAGGATGTACCTGCAGCTCTCCGAAATAGACATAAGTACCTTGATCACTGCGTGACCCTGAAATGGATTGACATTAGAGCAGTGGGGATTTGGGAAATTTTAGGGAGAGGCAATAAACAAAACACACAGATAGGTGTGCTGTTTGCCCAACATTGCATAGCTAAACAATCAACAGTAAGATGCTTTTGGAGGTGCTAGGGGAAGCATTTGTTAAGTCGCTCATTAATTTACTCATCCATAAATCACTCATTCATCTCTTCATCTGTAGGTAGAAGAGGTGACACGGGGCCGAAGGGAGACCCTGGCATCCCAGGCTTGGACAGATCAGGAATGCCTGGAGAACCGGGACCACCAGGAATGCCAGGTCATCCAGGTGAGATAGGACCACCTGGACAGAAAGGATACCCAGGAGCTGCAGGATTCCCAGGGCTACCAGGTATCCTTTGCGCCATTGTCTTCAAAGTCTTCTTCCATATTTTTCCCTTCAGGTGACTCTGCACACTGTAGACTTTTTCTTTCCACTTAGTCTATGTTTTCCCCTAAATCATTTTAAGAGGGAAGGACCAAGAGGCAGGAAGAGTAGAATAGAACCATTACATTTTATAATTACCCAGGATACGATTACTTTTGCTGTGGAGTAATTTTGTATACTATAAGATACCAACTAGTATTTTATTGAGGTTTTTGCCATTTATATTTGCAAGGAACACTGGTCAGTTTTCTTGTGATGGCTTAATCCTGTTTGGACCAATGCTGGCCCTGTAGAGAACAGGTTGAAATGAGTTCTCCTGCAGTGTTTCCTGGAAAAGCTTATGAATAACTGCTCCTCCTTGACCACTGATAGAGTTCACTAGCGAAGTCATCTGAGTCTGGACTCTTTTTTGTGTAGAATGTCTTTAAATTATCAGCTCAGGGTCTGGAGAGATGGCTCAGCAGTTAAGATCATTTGATGTCTTCCCAAGTGATCCACACCAGGTGGCTCATGACCACCTGTAACTCCAGCTCCAGGGGACCTCCCATCTCTTCTAGCCTTCCCGAGCACATATGCACGTAATTATCAATCTGCTGTAAATTTATGATGACTAGAAACAGCTCTAGCCGATTTTCTATGGCCTCGTGAGTCCATGTTGGTTCCATGTTGCTCTAGAAATCTGCCCATTGGATCGAAATCATCTACAGTGTGACCACAAGACTATTCATAGTCTATCTTCCTAATTCCTTTGAATTTGTGGCTGTTTTACTCTTCCTTCATTTGTAAAGAACATTCCACTTCCTCGTGACATACGGACATCACTGGTCTCCCCTCCAGAGAGGAGGCCACAATAACGACTTGATAATGGCTTAACTGACACATTTGCTTCGGTTCCTATTATTGGGCTCCTCTCGTGTACCAACTCTATTCTTGGCACTAGATTCGCATCTCTCATTGTAGGAGAGCAATAAAAACTACATTTAAAAACCAGGTTGAGGATGAATAAGGACAAAGTATCATGACATACATAAATAAAAACGTCAGAATAAAACCTTATCACTTAGTCTGCTACTTTTTAAAACAATGAAGAAAAACTAATTTCACTAGGTACTATGAATGAACAAAATGAGAGGTGTACTGAGAAGGAGGTGATGTGGAAGATGCACCAGAAGTTCAGGGAACTCTGTTGTCAACTCTGGTGTGATTTGCTACAATGACATACAGACCAAGTTTTGAAAGGCGTTGAACCATCTCTTACCCAAACTTGGTTATTTTCCTATTTACAAAAATCACTCTCTCCCAACTTCTCTGTCTATCTTATTTTGTTTTCTGGAATATTTTGTTTTTTCATAGTTTATACATCATGGAGTGCTTTGTGTTAATTTGTTCCCACAGGCAAGAAAGGAGAGGTTGGGATGATGGGCTATCCTGGAACCACTGGTCCTCCGGGATCTCCTGGGAAACCAGGTTCACAGGGGCAGAGAGGTGAGTGCTGGTGTTTTGGTGAGTGAGTGGCATGAGGTCTGGACTGTGCTCACCTACTTAGCTGCAAAATAAATGACATTTGTTCTTTAAGAAAAAATAGTTGTGAGGGAAGAATATATTTGGTTTTTCTGTGTTCTGTGTTCCCTTCTCCCATTGGCATGGAGCTGATTTTCACCCTGCACACTTACACCGGCACTGTTACGCTTAAGGCTGTGTGTTCGGAAACACTATCAAGTTCTCAGCACCGTTCACACTTCTGATCTGTTTTATGATGCATATTGTTATTTGTTAGGTATGGCTAATGGACAAAAAAATTAAGTCCATTTGAATCATTTCAAGTTACCTGCATGACTTTACAGTTATTTTTTGTCATATGATTATATAGTCAGTGTCAAGCCAAATCAGAAGCAGGCTCAAATCTAGTCTTCTTGATCAGATTGGATCTCAAGCAACTGTAAACAAACAGAGAATCTCTGGGTAAAACATTTCCTTTGCAGATAAATTCTCGCAGAAGAGAAAGCATTTTAAAAAAAAATATACGATGCATAATGTGATACTTGCAGCATCACATTATAGTGGAGAAAATTCTGAAGTGCTTGGAGAAACTAGGGGCCACCGATAATGTTGGTGTGCTTGCACATAAGCATTTATAGGCTGAAAGAATATCTGCTTTGAAAATTCTGAATGGAGCCGAAAGTTTTGTGGTAGTTCATGCCTTTAATCCAAATACTGAAGAGAAAAAGGCTGCTACATCTCTGAGTTCAACATCAGTCTGGTCTACACAGCAAGTTCCAGGCCAGCCAAGGCTGCATAGTAAGCCCCTCCCTCGAAAGAAACAAACACAAATTCTGCATAGACTATGCTAGAGAGACTGAATAGAGTCTCTCCAGGCAAGCATGTCAAAGAACTTTCTGGAATTAACATATGATGAACTGTGAGAAAAGACCAAATCCAACCAAATTGCCAAAAGAGAAAATGAATGATCATTGGTAAAAGATTAATTTAAAAGATGCAGTTATTTTTGATAAAGGAAAACTAGGAAGTGGTTGTCATTTTCTTAAGCAAAGTGGTGAAGGTGTATGTTGTCACAGCATTTCCAACATACAGCTGGGGATCACAGATTCAAGGACAGCAAAAGGGAACATATTATCTAAGCCTCTCTAATATCTGCACAATCCACTTTTTAAAAATCTGTTTTCGAGACAGGACCTCATTATTTAGTCCATAGTGACCTTGAACTCATTGTATGTTCAGGCTGGTCTCAAACTCAAGATTCTCCTGACTTAAACCTCTTGAGTTCTGGTGTGCCAAGACACACCTCCTTTTTTAAAATGTGAATTTTAAACACAGAGACATTCACTCCAGATGTGGAGGAGACATGGAGAATACAAATCAGTGGTGGTTGTCATTACTTTGAGAAACCTGCATATCTCAAATAAAGTAGGCATATCTACAATAAAAACTATGAACAAAGTAAGGCATAAATGAGAAATATTATACTTTTTAGCCACGGCCTATGTATCATATTCAGGTACTACTGTACATTTGATAGATATCAACTCAATCTCATGGTAAGCCAAGGAGCTGGATCTGGTGGAGAAAGATTGTATGTGGTTGGGAAACCAGGTGGCCATTGCTAATCTCATTTCACACATAGGACTTGAGAGGTCAAGTCCCTTATCCAGTGTGTTTATCCAGTGTTACTGTGAGAAGCAGCAGCTGGTTCCAGTGGTCATACCTGTCCTTCTTTGGGTGTGTTGCCATGTGTCTGGACCACAGACACTGGAGAGATGAGGGAAGAAGAAAATTCAGCAGATACAATAGCCAGAGGAGCCTCCACGGAAAAGGTTTTGTGAATGCAATTCAGACAAGCAAGTAATCGTTGGCTCCAAGGCTTTCTGAGGCTCCCACTCCTAGCTGAAAACCTCTTGGCAGCTAGTGGTCACTGGAAGGAGAGTGTTCTAACTTGCTCTGACCAAAGGCAACTTGGGGGAGGAAATGGCTCGTTATGCTTACACTTTCAGGTCACAATCCAACATTAAGGGAAGTTAGAGCAGGAACTCAAGAAGAAACCAAGCAGAAACCATGGAGGGATGATGGTTACTGGCTCCTCTCTGGCATGCTCAGTTATTTTTCTTATATAATCCAGACAAAAATGTGTAGGGATGGTGTTACCCATTGAAAAATGTGCCTTCAACCACAATGTCTGACAGACATAGCCGCAGACCAATATGATCAAGGCAGTTCTTCAGTTGAGCTTCTACCTTCCCAAGTAACTCTAGGTTGTATCAAATTGACAATATCAAGACAGGGGGGCAGTTGTTTTGTTTTGTTTTGTTTCAATGGTGTGGTCCATGATAGCTTATCCGTGTTCTAGAGATGTAGCCAACAACCATGCATACATGGGCAGTAATAGTTGGCCTCAAGGGGTTATTTTAAAAGAAGGAAGAGGAGGAGGAGAAGGAAGAGGAAGAGGAGGAGGAGGAGGAAGAGGAGGAAGAGGAGGAAGAGGAGGAAGAGGAGGAGGAGGAGGAAGAGGAGGAGGAGGAGGAGAAAGAAGAGGAAGTTGGTAGAGGGGTATGGAGGGAGGAGTGTATCCAGTAGTTGTTGAAGTGAGGGAGAAGGAGTGGTGTATAATATCTAGAAACACCGTATTCATATGTGAAATTAAAAACAATGAGCATTAGAAAGAACTCAGCCTCCTTACGCTGTGTACAAATCTTGCCTCCTGAAACATGCCAAGTCTGTATAACAAGTCTCTGTGTTAGGCATTTTATTATATTCTGGTCACAGTGAAACTTCTAGTTTAGTTGGGGGAAATAAACATTAGTGGAACCTAAACACTCTTTCAATCCAAGTAGTAAATGTTAGACTTTGTGGGCCTCATGAGGGCTCTCTTGCACACTTTTCTTTGGCTTTGTTTGTTTTTATAACCCCTCTAATAATTTACAATGTTAGACTGTTACAGTTTTACAAACCATCCTTTGCTCTCTAGCCATATAAAATCAAGCCAGGGCCTTCAAGATAACTCTAGTGGTGAAAGTATTTGCCATGTCAACCTAAAGACCTCAGTGAAGAACCACACGAAAGAGAGACCCAACTCCAGAATTTTCCCTGACCTCCAGACACAGGCAATAACACAATCACACCCACACGGGTTCATTATAAACACCCATGCACAACTACACAGGGAGACACACAATGATACTGAGTGAAATCTAAAATAAGCACATACATGGATGAATAGAAATCAAGCCCGCAGGCAAGAGCAACCACAGGCCTTGAAGGGCACACATTCTTAGATGATGATCAATGGAAAACCGCAGGAGGAGACAACCTCACCCCTTCACCACCCCTTTCTGTGCACAGGCTATTGTCTGGTCTGGAAATCCTGTTCGTCCCACGCTTTCTTCTTCCAATTAGCTTCATGTCTTCAAGGCTGAGCCACAAAACAGATCCTCTTCCAGGAAGCCTCCCTTTTGCCTATGGTGCCCAGCTGCGTTACAGAACGTATCTCACTGTGCAGCAATTGCTTGTTGCTTGGCTGTCTCCTCAATTAAGCACTGAAAACCTGGGAAGAAGAGCATGACTTATGTTTATTCCCAGCAAACAGCACCAGACTTGTCTGTTAATTAGACACTTAATCCACGTGGACATAAGTGTATAAGCGGGAAAAGGCACAAAGCCAGGCCAAGGAGAGGCTGTAGAATGTTCCATGCAGTTGAGGAAGTTTGTAATGGATTGCTAATAAAAGAGTATCAGTGACTATAAATAAGCATCAGAATAAATCAATCAAAGTCAAGTTTTAGGGACGGAAGCGTGTCCTGGAATGTTAGTGATCTTTGTAGCCATGCAGGACTAGGTTCAAATCCCAGTGCTATTGCTGAGTGACAGTATGAGTCACGTCAGGCTCTTTGACCTACCCAATGCCTAGTAAAGCTGAACAAATGGACTGAGGGTAGAACTGTTTATATAAGAATTAGGTGGTATTCTGTTTGGCTATAAAAATGAAGAGGTATTTTGGCTACTAAATCTTAAAATATCTTATGGTTGTTTGCAGCATTAGGGATTGAACCCAGTGCCTCACTTATATTAGGGAAATTCCCTATACTGAGCTACACTCCAACCCTTTAAACGTCACTGCAATGCATCTCATGATGACAGCTGCCATCGTTGGTGGAGAACTGACTCAAGGCAGACATACACTAACGCTTTCTACATCTTAGTGTATTTGGCTCCTCTTTAAAAAACAAGCAGACAAAAAAAGACAGAAGCCCACATTTCCCCATGCTCTTGATAAATGGGTGATGTTGCGTTAGTCAATAGCTTATCAATTTAGACCAGGATATGAAGGAGTCTGTGAAGCTTCCAGTTTGTTTCAGTGCCGGGTGAAACCCAGGGCCTCATGAATTTTAGACATACGCTTTACAACTGACACATGTCTTTAAAATTTGGTCTTTTACTCTAGGATTTGTAGGAAATCCGGGTGAAAAAGGAGACAGAGGCATTCCAGGGTTACCAGGTCTGAAAGGCTTCGAGGGACTGCCTGGACCACCAGGCCCTCCAGGTAAGGCTAACTCATCAATAAAAACATCATTCTCTAAGCTTCCCTAGACTGAACTGTAATGAAACGTACTTCTAGACTTTGGCTAAACATAAACTCTACCCTGAAAAGTGTTCCAGGAGAAAGTTGATCTAAAACCAAAGAGAAAGTGTTTGGTAGCTAGCATCTATCTAAATTAAACCAAAAAGAAGGTGTTTGGTATCTGGCATCTACTGCCTAAAATATAACCATTTTTACCCTCAAAGTTTTATTTTTATGTGTCAGCAATAAAAATTAATTAATGTTCTAGTTATTTTCACTTTTGCATCTTCCTTTTGTAAACGAGTTATGGAGTTTGCGAAATAATTTTAAGCTATTAAAGTAGTCTCCTACCCCCAGCAATCCCAATAGCAAGATGACGTAGACGGCAATTGACCTTCAATTTGCTGTCAGAGATATACTGCAAATTATATCTGCAGTCGGTCGGTCAGAGGAGCCTCTGCTGACGTTGGTCTTAGGACGGCTCTGAGCAGGCCTAATAATGGGGCTCTTGCTTTATCCGGATCCACATTCTGAGTCCCCAGTCCTAGCGGGAGCCCTAACTGAAGAAGAAAGGACAGCGTGCTTAGCCAGCTAGCCTAGGAGTTTTGTACTTGTCTACTCCAGGGAGCACAGCTAATCCTATCACCCTGTGATGACAAACCCTCGAGCTCACAAGTCAGAACTGTAGGTTTTTCTGTGTCTTGGATTGTTTTAGTTTTTTAATAGAAAATTCTGTGCTTATCTACTCATGCAAGCAGAAGATATGTGTTGAGCACATGTGCTCAGGAGCTGGGTCGTAAGTGACTCTGTTTATTCTCAAGGCTCTAGAGGAGACATGGGACGCAGTGGGAATCCTGGAGGACCAGGACCAGGCGGCATGCCGGGAAGCATGGGGAACATGGGTGTGCCAGGTAACACTATGACCCTGCTATTATGAGCCACTGAGCTCACGACAAGTCAAACTGTAGACATGCTGTGTTTCGGATTGTTTTGTTTAGTTCGTTTAATAGAAAGTTTATGTTACTAAGTGTTGCCTTTAGGCAAAGGTTCTGTGTGTGACTAGAATATGAGTGATAAGAATCTCTGTATGTTCTATAATAATCATACATTATATGCCTCAATCTTGTGAAAACCCGTCTTCTTATTTGCTTGGGATACAAGGGATACTTTAAGATCATTTCTTCACTTGTCTTACCCCGTATCTGTCCTCATTTCAGGCCCTAAAGGGAGAAAAGGAACTTTGGGACTGTCGGGTCTAGCTGGAAGACCAGGCGTTGCAGGGAGTCGCGGTCCTCAAGGAGATAAGGGGGAGCAAGGTCATTCAGAAGGTGCAAGGCCAGGACCACAGGGTCCAAAGGTATATAGACCACTGAAATAGTTACATTTTGGTAAAGGTGGAGGACCTTTTTGTTTTTTGCTTTTGTTTTTGTTTGTTTTGTTTTGTTTTTGAGACAGTGTTTCTATGTAGCTTTGGAGTCTGTCCTAGAACTAGATCTTGTTCACCAGCCTGGCCTTGAACTCACAGAGATCCAACTGCCTCTTCCTCCTGGGTGCTGGGATTAAAGGTGTGTGCCATCACCCCCGGTGAGGGCCTTAAAATATCAACAAGGACCAGATTCAGTGTGGGCAGAAGAGAAAACAAGAGATTTCTATACAATCGGGCAGTTATGATTTTTTTTAAACATATTCCTATTTTGAAGCTAAGGCTGTCTGTCTCATGCTCTCAATTTGAGAAATTTCTCTGTCCCTGCAGTTTAAGTGTGCTCCCAGTAGGGGGCAGTGATGACAGGCACACAGAAACTGACAGGGCAGGATTTCTTTCCTCCAGTTACAAACCGTGGCTTTCTTTCATATAAAATTTTTGTTCTTGCTTTTTTTTCATACAGAACTTTTACATTTGACATGCAAAATTCTTTGTCTTATTAAGATATAATAAAAGGCATAGACTAAAATAACTATACAATGTCATTAAAATGTAAAGAAGACCCTAAGATGCCTGTATGTATGTATCCTGGTGGTAGCAGATTTTGAAGTGTTTTCACGTCATTGCACAGAAGGCTGTTGCCTTGCTGCAGTGGTCTTTCTCAGGGCTTGTGCTCCATCAGACTGAGGCCGGCTAACAAAACACTATACGTGGGGCAGCTACTGGATGTTTGAGTGCGGCTTGGTTGCTGCTCTTTTAGGTTTATTTCCATCCAGTCTTTCTTTCTGCACTTAACACTAAGAAGCAGAGCTGCACAGCATAGAGTCGTTAACAGACATTCCAGTAAGCAGAGCTTCTACACATGGGACTCTGTGATCCTCTCTGAAGAAATCTGCAGCATCCCAAGAGACCACTAATCTGCTAAATTGGACACTGAGTCCTCGGGTGCATGTTTTTGTAAAGGAAACAGATAGTTGGGGGGGGGCAGCTGTTCAAGGGTTAAAGCATTCAGAACATAAAGCTGTGGCCTCAGAAGTCATCTCTATTGGGCCAGGAGATTAGCCCTTTCTCTCATACCTACAGTTCCAGGCCTTGGGAGACAGAGACAGGACGAGCAGCAGTGAAGGTCACCATTGACCACACGAGTTGGAGGCCAGCCTCAGGGAGCTACATTACACTCTATCTCAAGGCAGCAACGAAGAACCTTTGCTGTTATTCTGTCATCTGTGGTAGTCATTGTCAAAACAAGAAGGAAACTTTTTAGAAAAGGCAAAGACTCAAGAAAACAAACTTTCGTTATCTGAAGCACAATTTTCCCCCTTATTTTAACTGGTTTTCAGAAAACCAGGGAGATGCCTTCCCCTGGGGTATTTTCTTCAAGAGCAGGGCTATATGGTTGGATTCTTGCTCGGCTCTCTACCAGCTCTGTCTAGGTTCAGGTTTTTGCAGATAACAGCCACACGGAGCCTGTAGAGTTCTCAGTTGGCTTCAGGCTGGCTTTTATCAGGTTAGGGAGCTGCGGTAAGAAGATAGGACATTCCAGTTAGCGGGATGGAAACTTTGTAAGTCACCGGCAGCCGTGCATGTTCTGAAGTAGCATCAATCTGAGATACAGGTGTAATGAACAGAGCACATCAGTGGAAGGATGTTTTTAAACATGCGGTATGCATACATGTTTTTGTCTCCACAGCACACCTCTCTGCTTTGCCTGCTTCCTACACCCTTTCAGTCGGCACAGTTTCTGTAATTTTCTACTTGTGTGATTTTTTTATACCTAACTCCCAGCTGGCCTCTGTGGTCCATGAAGGCAGGGGCTGTATGCATCATATATGGGCAGTCTGTTGTCACATAGACCCGTTGCTGTCCAGGACCCCATCTTGGTTAAACGTCCGACTATTGCTCTTTTGAAACCCTCTCAGTGTCTTTAGAAAGAGAGAGAGCTACACTTTCATTTTGCACTGGCCCTCACAAAATGTGCAGTTAACCTAGTCCCATACATTCAAGGTCCTGGCCTGTAGCAGACACTCAGCAGGGACTGATAAATGAATAACTTATTTACTTACTCCAAATCACATGTTCTGCTTATATGAGAACTTTAAAGGTGTTTGACTGAATTTAAGGGCCATGCAGGATTGCCAGGTGACAAAGGAAAAAAAGGAGAGAGAGGCCCACCTGGGCCACCTGGACAATCGGGACCTGCTGGACCTGACGGAGCCCCTGGGAGTCCTGGGAGTCCTGGCCACCCAGGTGAGCCCTGGTTTACAGTTTGGAAAGGTAGAAGCGGTGAGTATAGGATGCCCCTTACCTTTTAGAACCATCTCTGTAAACAGAAAGATACAATTTTGATGTATACTGAAGTGAGATTCCCCTCTAAATGCTGCGAATATGTTTTACGACCATTGGTTAATAAAGAAGCTGCTCTGGACCTACAGCAGGGCAGAATAGAGTAAGGTGGGAATTCCAGTCAGATAGAGGAGGAAAGAAAGTGGAGTCAGGGAGACATCACGTAGCTGCCGAAGGAGAAACATGCTGGAACCCATAAACCACAGCCTAGTGGCAGTACATAGATTAATAGAAGTGGACTAATTCAAGATGTAAGAGTTAGTTAATAAGAAACCTGAGCTAAAAGGCTAACAGTGTTGTAATAATATAGTTTTTGTGTGATTATTTCGGGTCTGGGTGACCAGGAAGGATTGAGCAGCCTCCACTTACATACATACAACAACTGTTTTGATTCAGCTTTTAACTTCAAATTCTACTGCAATAAAAATTGTGAATTTAATCGGCAGCGGACTCATTTTACTGTTAAGGGGACCAAAATCTAAACACCTGCTCTTGTAATCAAAACATCTGAAGTTTTGTCTCAAAAAATTCAGTCAAGAAGCAGGAAATGATACTGCTTCGCTAGAGGGACTTGTAATGCATGCATAGACTGGGTAGCTTAACAGAGCCCTGTTTACTCACACTCTGGAAGCCAGAACTCTAAGACTAAAGTGCTGGTAAAGCTCGTTCTTGTGAGCCCATCGGGGCATGACTACAGCCACCTTTTGTTGTCTCCCCCCTCCATGTTTTCATCCTAATCTCTTACAAAGATGCCACAAGTGTTGGGCTGCAATCCTCATTTTTGTTTAACTTTTTAAAAATTGCATTATATTTATTTATTGCATGTGAGTGTGGTATGTGTATGCTGCAGGATGCATGTAGAGGTCAGAGGACATTTTGGATAGGAACTTGTGAGAATCAGTGTATCCCTTCCATCATGTGGATCCCGGGAATTGAGCTCGGGTTGTCAGGCTTGGCTGCAAGCGCCACCACCCATTACGTTATCTTATCAGCCCCAATTTTTAACAACCATATTATGAAACACAACGGCATCCTGAGGTGCTAGAAGCTAGGACTTCAATGTATAAATTTGGGAAAAATATAATTCCACCTGTAGTGCTATTTTAAATATTTTTTTCCTGGCCTGTTTCTGGTTCAGACATCAATGTCCATGTTACCTTATAGCAGGTTTTAATTTTGTTTTATTAAAAACCATTGCTCAGCTAGAGATGAATCTCAGTAGTGCCGCATTTGCCTCACATATGTAAGGTCTTAGGTTCAATTCCCAGCCCTAGGAGGAGGAGGGGAAAGTAGGAAGAAAAAAATTATTTAATTAACCTGAAAAACAAACAAAAAACTTGAACTATTTGAGTACAACTGCAGACTTGCATGAAGATAGCATTTAACTGAAGTTTTCCAACACTGAGGGGTTCAATAGCTTGGCAGTTGGCTCCTGATCTTAGCAGTATGCCAGAAATTGAACACTGTGTCCGGGATCAAACTCAGGTTGTCAGGCTTGACCCCAAGCACCTTTACCCACTGAGCCATCTCAAGATTCAGCCGAATCTTTAAGAACCGTGTTGCTAAATACAATGGTATTCTGAGATGTTGGGTGTTGGGACTTCACCATATGAAGGGAATGACACCTGTGTGATTTCCCAGGAGAAATGTCTGAGGTGACCTGTCAGGAATGTCCGTGAGGGCTGCCCTAGCGTGGCTGATGGGTGGAACTGGCTGTTTCGGTGGCTGAGGGAACTACCACTCACATCTCAATGTTCTTTTTTTCTCTGCCCTCTCTCTGGATCTGCAGGGAAGCCGGGTCCTGTTGGTGATTTGGGTCCTAAAGGCAAGAAGGGCTTCCCAGGCCTTCCAGGAAGCACTGGACCTCCAGGTTTCATTTTAAAACTTATTCTGTCCCTTTGCCTGAGAAAACGCACTTCCTTCTTGAGGTTAGACTAACTGTTCTCATAGGATGCAGAGCAGTGGGGTTGAAAACACCGCCTTTGTAATCGACATATCTACCAGTATAAAACACCATGTGGTCATCTCATGAGAGTATTGATTTGGGCATACTTTTTTTAATTTTATGCAGTTCCGCAAACAACGGTTCTGAAAACTCAGTACCTCTGAGCACTTTCTCCCTACGTCCCCGGTGTTCACGGTAGGCCATAGAAGGAAAGAGATGGCCATGTCTTTCAATGGTGTGGTTTGGATTTCTGTTTGTTTCAGGCCCTCCAGGATTCCCAGGACCTCCTGGACCAATAGGTATGAGAGGTAACCAGGGCCGTGATGGAATTCCTGGTCCACCCGGAGAGAAGGGAGAAACAGGTACAGCTTCTGAAAAATATAAAGAAATAAGTAAATAAAATAAAACAAAAATAAAGAAAGAGGAGAGAAAATCAGCTGGGTGGTAGTGCATACTTTTAGCACTCAGGAGACAGAGATAGGAGGGTTTCTGTGAGTTCGAAGCCAACCTGGTCTACAAGAGCTTGTTCCAGGGCTGTTACACAGAGAAACCCTGTCTCGGGGGAAAAAATTATTTGCTGTGTGTGCATAATGTATGTGTAGGGGTTCATTTATGCCATGCCATGTGGAAATCAAGAGGATGAACAACAGGAGTTGATTCTCCCCTTACCCTGCATGGGTCGTAGGGGGTTGACTCTAGGTCATTAGTATGAGAGGCATGAATCCTCACCCACAGAGCTACCTCACTCGCCCTTACTTTTAATACTTGATCCACTGATTTATTAATATTTTAATTCTATGTGACTCTAACCATTCCTCACTGGTAGAACAGTTGGTCTCTAACACATTCTCACCATGCACCAGTTGTACTTCCTGCATATATAAGATGTACTGGGTTGAACCGAATGTTAATATATCCAAATTACCTCTTCCAGGCTTGCTGGGGGCCCACCCAGGCCCCAAAGGGAGCCCTGGTATTCCAGGTAGGCACTTCTTCTTCCCTGACCTTAATTGAATCTAGTTCTCTATTTTTGATTTACCAGACAATGTAACTTGGCAAGTGAAAGATGCCCTAATGGTGGCATTAAGTATTTAAGGTCTTAATAGTCAGTTAAAACTGTTTCTTATCACAACGAAGGAAGGAATCCAAAGCTGTGACCTGGCTTTGGGGATCTCCTTTCTGTGAAAGTTTTTAAAGATAAAAAGAATTTGTATATCTTTGTTTTGCTGCTGTTAGTTGCTTATTTCAATGACTCGACTCCTAAAAGGATGCAGGGGGAGCTGGTTTCCCTCTGAGCATCCTTCCTGTGTTGAGATACAGCAGTAGGCTGCCCCTTCCCACTTTGATTTCAGTCCCTGCATTGAGCTTGGGGTTCATGTTATGGTTTGTCAAGGGCTACGCTGTACCTCTCTCAACACCTGAGACATGACGACTTATCTAACATGTTCCTCAAAGTCTATGAAGGATTTTTACCAACTGCAGGCATACCTTTCTCAGGCTAGTGTCATAAGAGAAACAGATTCTTTAATCTCTTTTCCATTTTATAGAGAAAGAAGCCAAGAGAGACAGCAGATCGTTTGTACCTTTTAATGGTCTTTATTAGCCTTGTATATAGAAGTGTTTTAAGCATCTATTATATTTTATTCATAACCATTGATGTCATGAGAACCTGCAAAGGACAGGTTGATGTGGAACTGGCCTGGGCTGCAGATGGAGTAGAGACAGGAGCTGCTCTTTCCCCTTATTTCTTAATGACTTGATTGTCCTTTTGGTCAATCTCAGTATTCACGCACCTCCCAGAGCCTTCCAACCCTGACGAGCATGGGGCCTTTCCCTCTCCCAATGTCTTGTAGCAGAATTGTAGACAAAGGAAATGTTTCTGTTCATATTGTTAGGCTAAACTCAAAACTGGGAGGAAATGCTGTATTTGCATTACTTTGCATTCGACTGCAAATAAAATTTCAGAAAAAGTCACACCTTAGACAAAAAAAACCACACAACTTTTCTCCAGTCACCAGCCTCACCCTCACTTCCATAGTCATGCATTTCCTCTCAAGAGTACCACAGAGGGGGGCTGGAGAGATGGCTCAGAGGTTAAGAGCACTGCCGTTATTGTAAAGGACATGGGTTCAGTTCCTAGCATAATGGCTCAAAACTACATGTAACTCGAGGTCCAGGAGATCTGATGCCCTCTTCTTGTCTCTCAGGGCACCACACACACACGGAGTACATACACACATGTAGACAAATCACTTGTACACATAAGATAAAATACATAAGTCATTTCTTAATTTTAAGAAAAACAGAGATGGGAAGGGGGGAGGTTGTTTTCAATCCCTACTACATCTTTGATCCAGGAATGTCAAAGCAGAGTTTATTGAAGGTTTGCTGAGATGGCAAATAATACCTGGTTCTGAACTGTGACCTTTCTGGGGTCATCTTTCATGTCTCTTGTTATGTTTATCCCTCCTGGGTACAGTATCATGGCTGTGGGAAAGATTTATTCAGGAGACTGAGCAGGATTATAACTTCCTCTGTGTCTAACAATTCCAAGCCACACACCACTACCCTGATGTTTCACTTTTCTCTGCTCTACTGCATTATCTATTAATAAATAATGTCACTATAAAGGTTCACCAAATAATGAGTGTGGCTTACGTCTGTGTGACAGCTTAGATCTTATATGTGCCTTTTGTCTCCATGTTAACTAAATGTATCTTTTAAAGAACTGAGCTATGACAGGTGTATTTTGACTTTAAAATAAAGCAATGAGTGTAGTGATGAGGCGAGCAGGCCTGCTTTTCGTCCCGCCCGGCTCCCGCACTGCTAGCTTAGCCCCAGAATAATTACACGGAAACTGTATTCATTTAAACACTGCCTGGCCCATTAGTTCTAGCCTCTTATTGGCTAACTCTCACATCTTGATTAACCCATTTCTAATAATCTGTGTACCACCACGAGGTGGTGGCTTACCAGGAAGATTCTAACCACCGTCCGTCTTGGGTAGGAGAAGCATGTCATCTGCCTCATGCTTTCTTCCCAGCATCCTGTTCTGTCTACTCCACCTATCTAAGCTGCTGTCCTATCGAAAGCCAAGGCAGTTTCTTTATTAACCAATGAAAGCAACTCATAGGAAGAAGACCCACCTACATCAAATGAGAGAGTGGGAGATGGCTCAGTCAGCATGAAGCATGCAGGATCTGTAATACCAGCACTTCAGAAGGCTGAGACACACCGATCCCTGGAATTTGGTAGTCAACTACTCCAGACAAATCAGTGATCTCTAAGTTCACTGAGAGAGAATTTTCCTTAAAATAAAACACAGGAGCATGAATGTTTGTGCATGCGCACACACACACACACACACACACACACACACACACCACATAAAATAAGACAACAAAGATTAGTAATTGCGTAGTGATTTTCTCTAGATCAACGCCTAGGCCAAGGAAGACCTACAATTTTGTTCTTCAGTCTCTTTTCTAAAAAGGCAAATAAATTATGCATTTAAACATTTTCAAAGAAAGTGCCTACATTACTGAAGCTAACCATACACTATAAACCCAACCAAGCTTTCTTCTTTGCAGGTGTCAAAGGAGACAAGGGAGCTCCAGGTTTGCCTGGCCTCCCTGGCAGGAAGGGGAACATGGGAGATGTTGGACCTCAAGGACCCCCAGGCATCAGTGGACTCCCAGGACCACCAGGTCTACCTGGGGCAATTGTCCCTGGCCCAAAAGGAAACAGAGGTCTTCCTGGCCCAAGAGGAAGTCCAGGTATGAAAGTCACATTTGACATCAGAGGTTGTCTTCCTCACATTACCTCAGAGTTTCTTGTCTCGTTCCATTTTCTTCACTTTTCTACTATCCCTGACTCTTACAACTCACTCTTCAGCATCCCTTACTGGCAACTCTAATGGGCTCTTTGTGAATCCAGGTAAGCCAGGTCCTCCTGGACCTCCAGGACTTATCGTAAAAGGCATAAAAGGTGACAAAGGATTTATGGGCCTACCTGGCCCCAAAGGTCTACCTGGAACTGTAGGCAACATGGGCCCACCAGGTCACCCGGTGAGTGTGTAATGTTATTAATACACTTATGACTTACTGTTGTTATACTGCAGCCATATTGTATATCTCAGTACTGGTCATACCTGGTCACTCTTCATGACTTATTAACTCTGGTGAACTGTTGTGCATGATCAGCTGCACCCGGAATACCACATATTCACTACTGATAACACATCTGTGCAGTGATGTGCAGTGATGCATCCAAGGTCCCACAGAGGCCAGGACTTCAAAGAATTTTAAGGGCTGCAAAGATTTCACCTCTACAAGGCCTTTAACTCATGGATCTACGGGGTATAAACCTCTGGCACTTGCTTATTTAAACTCTGAGCTATTGCAGTGTGGAAAAAAAGTAAACACCTGGTGGTTGACAGTTGTTCCAAGATAGTACCATTTTTGATGGTACCATATTCATATGCTTTCCAAATAACCTTTGCTAGCCTATAAATATGTCCATTTTCTCCACACCACATAGCACCAATGTTTGAATGTAATTTCCATGTCTTCCTAATATTTTCTATCTGGTTCTGGGAGATTCGTAATAACTTCTTCTGTGTCCTACTGGGCAATAATTCCAAGCACAAATCACTACCCAAGTTTGCTTTTCTCTGCTCTACTGAATTATCTTCAAATAAATAATGTCCTTATAAAGTTCACCAAATAATAACTGTGGCTTATGTCTGCATAACACTTTAGATCTTATATCATACCTTTTGTCTATATGCTAGCTAAGTTTTTTTTAAGAACTGAGCTACGACAGGTATATTTTTTCTGTTAAAATTAAATGATGAAAGAGCTGAGAGAATGTTTCATTGTTCATCTGCCTTTCTTCTACTCTGAATAGACCCCAGCTCAACAGTAAGATCCTTTAAAATGAAGCCCACAGTAGAGAAAACATGGAGTAAGTAAGAGCTAAGTCCCCAGTGAGTGGCTAAGAGAAAGAAGTGTTTCACTGGCCCAAACATTACCATTTTAGGAATTCAACCGAAGATTCCCATGGCCACTCAGCTGACTCATGGCCACACTGGTAATTACACGGAGCTTAGAGTCAGCTGGGCTCACAAGACATTTCTTCAAACCTTCCGCAATGTTGTTGTAGAAATACTCTTCCTTCCCAGTGAGAAGTCACTCCACATACTTATAAATTAATAAAGGAAAAGGCTTTTTACTAGCACGTGTTCAGCCCTAGCTAATGCCCAGAGAAGCTTGTCTCCAATAGAAGGTTTTACTAATTGATATACACCTTAAGCTTATGCATACCACATAAACTATCATCTCTCCCACTCCAAAAACAAAACAAGGGGAAAAAACTCTCTCCAGTCATGGCTCCAGGTTACACTTTGAACAATTTAAACAGAGACCTATAAATCTGGCCATGTAGGCAAATGGGAGATTTCTATAACAAAGATATTGCTAGAATTATTTCAAGTACACCAGTGTTGTACTTTTTTCAAATAGTTGCTACCCAGGTTCATCTTGGCCAGCTGACAGCATTATGCTTCTCTCAAGGAGAAAACCAGGGACTTTATGGACTTGTGATGCCACGCCACCCCTCCCATGGAGCATCCTGTTAGAGGCATGTTCTTCTGTGAAAAGCCTAATGGCTGGTCAATCTTGGTGAACATTTACAGCCTAGCATCTTCGATCTTGCTTATCTCCAACAGGCCTGGGCAGCAACTCCAATAGGCCTGGGTAGCAACTTCTCTTTGGGGTAGTTTGGAGACAGCATTCCTTCAGCCAAATTCTACCTTATGTGATAAATGTCTCCTAAGCAAATCTACTAGTAAATCCTTTATGGCACCAATTCTATTACTTTGGGTTTCTCCTATATCAGTGTTTCTTCCTTATTTCCTTGTCTAGCTTTGTGCCTTTGGTGTTTGAGGTGCAAGCGCAGAACTTTTACATTTTCCTCCAATGATGCCATCCTGTTCTCTGGCCAACTCCTGGTTTCCAGCCCAAGACCTCTCGTTTCTGAGCCTCTCCCTCAACCTCTACCACCTCTCCTGAATTCTTTTAGTGGCTCATTCAGTAAGCCCATTTCTGTTTTCCTCGGTCTCTTGGAAAGAGGTGTTGGATAGGCAGCTGTGGTTCAATACTCATTATAGAGTGTCTGCCCTGTACCAGTCAGGACATCCTAACGTGAAGGAGACAGACACTGAGACATGTCATTTTCACACTGCATGCAAAGTGGAAAGGTGGGGAGCTGAAGGAATACAGGAAGGACACGTCATTTCCTCTGTGGAATGTGCTCAGGGCCTGAGTCTGAAAAGATACACACCAGTTATCCAGGAGGATAAGAAAAGCAAGGATGAAGGCTGAAAGGCCTAAAGACACTGTGCATGTGTATGGGGGGGGGGGTTATAAACTGAAGGCAGAGGTTGACCTAGAACTAGAGACCAGAGGACTGAAAAGAGGTCAGGTCCGGAAGGTCCCGTTTACTAGACTAAGACACAATACATCACAGCTGGAGAGATGGCTCAGTAGCTAAGAACAACTGTTGTTCTTCCAGGGGGCCTGGGTTCAGTTCCTACCACCCACATCAGACAGCTCATAACCACCTTGTCTTTGTTAGTGGTTTTTTTGCTGTAAAGAGAGACCAAGACAATGGCAACTCCTAGAAAGGAAAACGTTTAATTGGGGTTGACTTACACTTTCAGAGGTTAAGTTCATTATCATGATGGCAAGAAGCATAGTGGTTCGCAGGCAGACATGGTGCTGGAGAAGGAACTAACAGTTTTGGAGACTGCCCCACTATGCCTAGCTTGAGCATATATGAGACCCCAAAGGCTGCCTCTACAGTTACACATTTTCTCCACCAAGGCCGCACCTACTCCAACAGGGCCATACCTCCTAATAGTGCCACTCCCTATGGCCCAAGCATTCAAACACATGAGTCTATGTGGGCCATCCTTATTCAAACCACCACACACCTATAATAACTCCAGCTCCAGGTTATCCAACACTTCTGGTTTCTGACAACACCTGCGTTCTCACACATACATATGCACGTGTGCACGCGCACGCGCGCGCGTGCGCGCACACACACACACACACACAATTTAAAGCTTAAAGAATCATACATCACTTCTTCATTAAAGAGTGTGTGTCAAGTTTCTTCTGCAAGTTAGAGTTAATCCTTTAAATAACTTGATTTTTGTTTCAGTCTTTCCCTAAGCTTAAAGCCTATCCTGGTTTCCCTCTGTAGCAGCCACTGTGACCACAAAGACACAGTGGAGAGAACACATAAAAATACAGACTCTCTATGACCCAACCCATCACCCCACCTCCAATCCCCTCACTAGGGGTGGCTATGGAGATTCTGGGGCATGGCTACTAATAGGAACCATGTTAAACTCTTTTCATCTCTTCTGTTATTTGATTTCTAGAATCTACTTTCTGAGATAGTATCACCTCCATCCAATCTGTAGATGTCACTCATGTACCCTCTGATGCTCTGAAAGGCCTCATTACTGATCTGATGATCACATCTAAAGTTCTCCCAGGGACACTGGCAGATAGAAAGTCCAGTCTGTAAAGAGGACTTGTCTTGATTCTTTGAATACTTTCAAGGTCATTTCCAAAGAGACCGGGATTCTGCTTGAGGGATGTCCTGATAAGCCCTCTTAACAACTCCCTTTTTGCACAAAATGACCTCCCTTGCCACCCAAGGACTGACCCTGGTATCCTACTCTCCTTAGCTACTTTTCACTAAAGAGAACAGGCTGTTGCCAGAAGCCTGAGTCCCTGATCACAGGGTTTACTTTCCTCTCTCTCTTTTTTAACCTCATACCATCCCATGCCAGCAAACGGACTACTGTCTTTTTCCTCTGGAGGCAGCTGACTTTAAGGCAACCTTTGTTATTCTTGGCACTCTTTTTCATTATTTTAGGATCGTTGTTTTCAATAGCATTCTGTCTCAATTCCTAGGAATAGCAATACTAAAGTATTTCCCTTTTCAGAAGCGCCGCCCCCTTTCTTCTCTCAGGGCTGTCCTTGAGTGTCTCATACTCCCACAACAATGTGAGCTCCTCCTACTCAGCAGGCTCCACCTCTTCCTCTATCTCCCTTCCCACTCCCATCTCCAGTTAGTTTCCTTCTCTCACCACCCTCATCGGGAGGAATTTAGAATTCTGCCAGTTTAGCAGAATGACACTTGGGTTCAACAATGGCTCTCATGATCTTTGCAAAAATCGCAGGTTTGTTCTTCCTGAAATGACCTGAAATACGGGGCAGTTCCAATTAAATGCATTCAAAGCTAAATAGTGTACACTAACATTATATAGCAAGTTTGCTCTTCGTGCTTCGTGTGTGTGTCTGTGTGTGTGTGTGTGTGTGTGTGTGTGCGCGCGCGCGCGTGAGCGTATGTGTTGTTGTTTTAAATAGTGCTAAGAAGAGCTCTAGAGAGTATAAGAGCTATAGGTAGGCAGAATACTGAACTGACAGGTAAAAGTGATATCTGTTAATTTCACCTTATTCTTATCCAATATAAAGTTATATCTTTTGCTTAAAAAATAATCTGTTGTGAGTGTTGTGTTTTTAAAACTTTGTGGTTCTCCTCCTTCCCTTTGCTCAAATATAGGGAGCACCAGGTATCCCAGGTCTTCCAGGTCTCAGAGGTGATCCGGGATTCCCTGGATTTCCGGGCATAAAAGGTACTATTTTGACACTGTTGCTCTCACAAATACAGTCACTGCTACTCGGCTCACATCTGTAAATCTGCACATCATGTGGCCACCAGAGACAGTGAGGAGTAATACAAACAGGACCCTGGGGTGAGGATCTACAAACAGGATTTCAATGTGAGCACTCCACTAGCATCTGAACCCGCAGGGCTGAGAAAAAAGCTACAACATAATAATGGAGACTATAAGAAAATTAGAGACAATCAAAAGTGTTACCTTTGGGGGTTTTGAAATGTATTGGGATGAGGGATGACATACTACATCAATACTAACAGCATTATTTTTAAGTTTTTGGTTCTCTTCAATCAATTTCATAATTTAGAAAGCTGAAAACATCTAAAACAGCAGCCACCAGACCATTAGTGTGGGTCAAGTTAATTTTTATATAGATTTGTGTTTTATGGGATGTATTTATTTATAGTGATAGGGACTGAACCCAAAGCTCCATCAGGACTCTATAACTGAAACCCAAGCCATTATATTCTTACTGTGATATGCCAGGTGTACTAGAGTATGCTTGTAATTTTAGCACTTTGGAGGCAGTAGCAAGAGGATCCCTAGATATTCAAGGCCAGCCTGCTCTATATTACGGATTCCAGGCCTCCCAGAGTTATGCAGTAAAATTCGGTCCCAGGAGTGGGGGTGGGGAGTGTATATAACATAATACAAATTTTTTAAATTTGCTTCATTGTTTAACTGTCTACTCCCCCTACTATGACTTTCATAAGGGCAGGGATCTCTTATCACAGCCTGCAGAAATACTAAATAAGAATTGTAGCCAACATGAACAAGGCCAAGTTTCCATGAAGGAGAACTGTTTCTAGGTTCAAAGGAGGACCAGGTGGGCTTTAAAACATCTTTTTAGAGTTTCTTCCAATTCCAGGCTTTTAAGGAGCTGTTAGCTGATGATGAATCTTTATGAGTGTTGGTGAGGTGCCCCACTGGATGTGGGTCAGGTGAATAGAGGCAGACCCTCCTGAGCAAAATTAATGATGTCATCTTCATAAGTCAGAATAAAATCATGGACAGTAGAAAAGCATATAAAGGCTCGACTAAAGCGAAGCATCTTTCAATGCTTTTAAGTATTTAGAGGTAATCAGGAGGAGATTCCTACAACCAACCCTGTGGTATTTCCCACAGGACACAACCAGTTAGCTTTCAGAATCAAAACCCTGGTTTGGATCTACTGTGAGATTTCACTTCTTTATTTGGAAAAAGTTCCATCACCAAAATATTTAGGTTGCTTCTCATAGTCATAAGTAAACACTCATACTTTCTTTCCTTTCTCAAAGTAAATGGATAGTTTCTAATGTAGTTGTCAGGTAACTTTTGGTGCAGTAATTATTTTGTTCTGCTTCTTTTTGTTGTTGTTGTTCCTTTTCTCTGTTTTGTTTTCTTGAGAGAGCATTGAACTTGCAGTCATTCCTCCTGCTTTTGTCTCTTGAGGGCTGGGACTAAAGACCTGCACCACTAAGTCCAACCATACTATATTTCACCTACTGGTATCATACTTAATATTAAATATGATGTGATGCCGTTGTTTTGAGACAGGGTCTCTCTATGTAGTAGTGACTGTTGTGCAACTTGCTATGTAGACCAGGTTAGCCTCAAACTCACAGAGACCCACCTGCCTCAGCGTCCTGGGTGCTGGGATTAAAGGCGACATGCCCAGCCTATGTCTAAGCACTTTTCATAGTCTTTGAAGGAGTGTTTATCCAAGTTGATGGCTATTTCTTGATCACCTTTTATTATCTGTACAAAAGATTATGAATAGAAATGAAATGTTAATCACTTTGCTACATACTTAAATTTATATGAGAATTCCTGACATAATGAACTCTGGGCTATCTGTATAGCAGGAACAACAAAATAAGAAAGTAGATAAACAAAAACAAGAAAACTAGATGGAAAAGATCATCAGGAGGTCTTAACATGGGTTCAGTAGGACCTCATAACTTACCCGAATAGTCCATTGGTTCCCGAACTCAAAAAGTGAACGCTCAGGAACACTTCCCTGTGACTATTAAAATATAAGGTTTTTCCCCCTTTGTTTTTTCCTCTTCCTCCACATTAGGAGAGAAGGGTAATCCAGGATTTCTTGGATCAACTGGACATCCAGGACCCATTGGGCCAAAAGGACCACCTGGTAATTATATCGATTTCTCTAGTATTGCTCTCTCTAAAAAAACGGTAGTTTCATGAAACCATCTTCTCATTGTGCTTATGTCCATAGGTGAACGTGGAAAACCTGGTACACGAAAGATCATCTCCCTTCCGGGAAGCCCAGGGCCACCCGGTCCACCTGGACAGCCAGGAATGAAAGGAGATCCTGGGTCACTGGGACCACCTGGAATCCCAGGTGCGAGACTAGCCTCAATATGGCCTCAGTAATGGGTGAAGGAAGAAAATCCGTGAAGCATTTGGCAAGCAGACAAGAGAACTTGATAGAAAACACCAAACACTGCAATATTTTGTATAATCAGTTTAGGACTGGGCTCATTTACCCTTGATCAGCAGAAAAAAGAGAGTTTAGACCCTTATACAAGCCTCTGGGCATAGTACAAAGTAGGAAAAAAACATTCCTTAAAAGGCTGCTTTGTTTTTATTAGGAGCAAGGTATTGTATCCATCTCTGGCAAATTCCAGCTCCAGGGTTCAGTTTTTAAATGAATGTCTAACTACACCCAAGTTCTACATATGTGGACTCATCTAACAATTTGTACAGCCAAGGGTTAAGGAAAAATGACTTCAAAGTCTTTCCAGAATACCGATATTTGGGAATTGAGCCTAACCCCTCACATATTCTTAGCATATTGGAATAGACTTTTGAACAGGACTTTTGTTTTCTGAGTCTGTCTGAATCACACGAGAGATAAGAAACGTATTATTGGTTTGAGCACTCTATGGGCAACGAGAATTCTGGAACAAAACAACACAAGTCATCACACACTTTCATATACTCATGGTTTCCGAAGGCATTTTGGGAAGCCAGTGAACACACTGACATGTTTGCTCAGGACTAAAGGCCTTGCTGGGATGTCAACACGGCTGGCGAGACTGCAAAGTCCCATGCTTCGTCAGACGGATGGCAGCCTGACCTCTTATTCTAATATGATAGCATGTAATACAACACTGCCTTTTGCCTAGGGCCCTGTGGACCAAAAGGTAAACCAGGCAAGGATGGAAAACCAGGATCTCCAGGAGCAGCTGGTGAAAAGGGCAACAAAGGCTCTAAAGGCCAGCAAGGTAAACACGCAGCTTGCTTCCCTTGCCAAAGCAGGATTGTGTCAGGGTTCAGAGGAGACATATTTATATGCGTGAGTAATCATGTGACTGTCTAAGAAAGCGTGAGTATTCTTGGGCTTCTGGTGAGTGCTATTGTTCATGTTAGAACAAAGGTAGGGTGCCATCTGCTCATTAGGGAAGGAAAAAGAGTCCCAAATGACTGGACTATACCATTCATTCTGCCCTGGGCAGATGTACTCTTCATTTTTAGTCAAGGCATAAATCCTTGGCTACGAACAAATAGAACAGAGGAGGCACTAGTTAGTATCCTATTTTCAGAAAGGCAAATTGTTCCTTAATTACCTACAGGTGCTCTGTTGGCTAATAGTTTCTTATAGGAGCTGTGTGACCTGGACCAGCAGGGGCTCTTCAATGACAGGATCCTAAGCGGGAGGGCCAGGAGATCAGAAGATAAGAAGCTAGGAAAGTTTAGGATCAGGAGGTCTTGCACAAGCTCTGTCTTATGCCAGGCAAGATGGTTAAGAAGTACAGCACCTGATGTACCATTTCCAGAGGGAGAAAGGGGACCCTGTGGGTGGAAAGGTATCATTATATCAGGAGGACTAGAGGGAAGCTAATCAACCTATGTCGCTCAAAGAGAACACAGGATACCTGAAAGGCATCAGGGATTGAGCACAGGGCGGCTTTGGGACTGATAGCCTTAACCCCTTAGCGTGGGAAAAACTGAGTTCTCAGGATCCTAAGCCACAGCTCCCCCAAAATCCTCACCCCAGGTCATTATGGCTCTGCCATGTACATCCTGGGTTTTAGAGAAAAAACTGTGTTCCTTTTCCATAGATCAGGGTCTCAGGGAAAAGCGCTCAAGGCCCTGGCTCTAGGCTTTTACTGACTCTGTCAAGTGTGTTTCTGTTTTAGAGAAAAAGCTATATTCCCGCTTTATACATTAGTGTTTCCTTGGCTTGGTCTAGTTCTCAATAAGTACATCATGCTAAGTTGTAAACAACATAAATGCTTATTTGTTTGTTTGTTTATTAAATGCTACCTTGGCATGAATAAAACAACCTTGCTTCCTTATTTAGGAAAGTCACCTCTTAACTATACTATTTTGAATGCAAGTAGTTACTCAGGTATATATTCTGTAAAAAAAAAAAAGCCTCTTAAATATAATGTTCTACTTAGAATATAAGCTATGTATCTAAGTCTACCTTCTGCAAAAGTTTCAAAGTACCCCTTTGGAAAACACTGAAATATCTAACTGCCTAAGATTACTGACTTTATTAATGAAAGCATAACTTCTATGAATGATTTCCCAACTAGACTAGGCACTTCAATTTAAATATGATAATGTAGTATTAATTGTAATATTAACTGGGGGTTACTTTTGATCTAGTGTTGCTAGGAATCTACATTAAAGTACACCATTTAACTTCATTCATAATGTGCTTTTGTAAATGGTTCTACTAATTTATACACTCTAATTACCAAAGCTGTATTTTATGAGATGACAGTAAGCATAGGATACTTCAAATCAAATTGTGCTGGGAATCGATAAGCAAGTAGTTAAAACTATAGAGGCTTCATAGGAATCATACAGGAATTCAAGATTAGATTTATAGAGATGCAGTATAGTCTTGGGTAGTGCATGTGAGCATGAAATCTTTTTTGTGGGGGGGGCACAATTTGAGATAGGGTTTCTCTGTATGTGGCTCTGGTTGTCCTGGAACTCGCTTTGTATACCAGGCTGGTCGCGAACTCACAGAGCTCCACCTGCCTCTGCCTCCCTAGTGCTGGGATTAAAGGTGTGTGCTGCCACTGACCGGCTGCATGAGCTTGAAATCTTACTTCCAATTTCTGCCCTTTTCAGCTAATCATTTCACAGTTGCCATGGAGACACTAGAAAGCACCTTCTGCTTAAGGTCCATATTAGTTAGCTTTGCATCACTGTAATGAACATCCTCAAAAGAGGCAACTTAAGGGAGGAAAGATTTGTCACCAGTAGGAAAGGCACAGCAGTGAGAACCCCTTGTGACAAGAGAAGCAGCCCTCACCTCTTCATGGATCAGCAGGCAAATAAAACCAGACTCCCAAGCAGGTAAAATCGTCAGGCCCCACCCCCTAAAGATTCATAGCCTTTATTTATTTATTTATTTACTTACTTATTTATTTAGTATACAATATTCTGTCTGTGTATATGCCTGAAGGCCAGAAGAGGGCACCAGACCTCATTACAGATGGTTGTGAGCCACCATGTAGTTGCTGGGGATTGAACTCAGGACCTTTGGAAGAGTAGGCAATGCTCTTAACCGCTGAGTCATCTCTCCAGCCCCGGTCCATAGCCTTTAAAAGAGTGCAACAAGCCAAGGAAGGGCTGAGCATTCAAACCATAAGCCTCTGAGCTTATGGAATCATTTCAGATTCAAACCACAACAGGACCAGTCATCACCCTCTGTGAATAAGAGCAGAGGTCAGGGAACGTAAAGAATGTGTCTGCCTCCTATATATTAGAGTCAAGGCCATTGTGAACTTGTGAGGCTCCCAGAAGGAGACGGAAGGACAGGAAGAGGGGAGAGAGGGTAACTCACTGGGTCTGATTTAGGAAGTGACAAAAGTAAATCAGCCTCCCTCCAACTGCAGAGGAAAGGCGAAGCATAAACACTGCTTGGTTTGTGACCCTTCTGGATAACCAAGAACCCTTGTTACAGTAGGAAGAAGTCTGCTAGCCTTGCTAATGGATCAGAAGCTTTCTGAAAGTTTGCACTTCTAGAAAGAACTTTCAAAGTTTTACATAATTGTTTTCTGGATTTACCAAAATCTTTGTAAGTTTTATTATCTACTTGAACAGCCTTACACGTTGTAGGTATTTTATTTGATTCTATGTCCCCCCCACCATACACACACATTGCCAGGCGAGCCATTCACTCATTAATTCATACATACAAAATGTACATGAGGACGACCAACTCAAATGCAGGACGCTGTGCCAGACATCCCAATGGAATTCAAGGGTTAAAAAAGTTCTCATCTCAAAAAACTCAAAATACATACAAGTACCTATGACAAGATGCATCTTGTGATAAACTAATCTTTAATATTATTTTTTCCATTGTATCCATTATGTTTGTGTCATTGAACAAAGCACCTGATACAAACAATGTAGAGGACGAAATAATAGTAGTAGTAGAGAAATAACAACAATGTAGGGGGGAAAGATTTACTTTGGCATTTGGATTCGGAGGGCTCAGTCCATGATTGTTTGGCTCTACGCTTGGATGCCACATGGTGGAGGAGCGTTGCTCACTGCATGGAAGACAGAAAATAGGGAAAGCCTTACAGAAAGGACCAGGGCAAGATCCAGTATCCAAGAACAAACCCCCACTTCCTACCCTCACCAACTCCCAATAAAATCATCATCTATGAATCCATCAGGGTATCAATCCATTCATTAGGACAGAACCCTCATGATCTAATCATTTGTAAAAACTCCTCCACAGACACACCCAGGTATGTCTTACTAAGCTCCTTAGTGGTTCTTAACCCTCTTGATAATTAAAATAAACCACCCTAGCCATTTTATAACCCCCATTCTTTCCTAAGACTCCTTTTCACATTAGAGGCTTACCAGCCACATAAACTCATTTAAATTGCTACTTTGGAAAACAAGTTTGAGAGATTGGTCATGTTGCAACATGTATAATTTGTTTTTCAAAGGACCACCTGGATTGGATGGATTGCCAGGCTTAAAGGGAAAACCTGGAGACAGGGGAACACCTGCCTCTGGGACAAGAATGCAAGGGTTTGTCTTCACCCGACACAGTCAAACCACAGCCACTCCTTCATGTCCTGAAGGAACACAGCCGCTCTACAGTGGGTTTTCTCTTCTTTTTGTGCAAGGAAATGAACGTGCACACGGACAAGACCTTGGTAAGGTTCTAGTTTCCCGTCTATGGTGCAGATTGTAAAATATTTATTGGATGGGAGCTTTCTCTGAAGGTCACTGTAACTGTTAGCGTCTTCTGGGGCATTTGACGAAACAATTGTGACCCAAGTTGTACTTTTCACCCTGATGTGTAAACTGCTAGAAGGAACCCACCTAGGTTGGTCAATGCCAACAATTTTTGCCTCAACCATCTGTCTTCTGTTAATCCTCAAATTAATCTTTTCTAAAGCTTCCTCTGGTTAGTAGCTACCATGAATACCAAAGACATTGTCCCAGCTGAACAACATCAGGCCCCAAGTTCTATCCAAGCTGGTTAGAAAATGCTGTAGAAAGTATCCTTGATAGGGGAATGTTTGTTTACCCATTTGGGGCTTTGACTTTCATCATTCCTAAAGATTTTCAGCAACACATTTTTGCAAATAATTGTTTTCTATTGGTTTTTTTTCCTGTTTGCTTTTCTTTTTTCCTTTTTTTTTCTTTTTTATTTTTGTGCAGACTTCTCACTGGTTATGTAATAATTAACCCATGTCTAAGTAATGATATTCACAATGACCTTAATTCAGGAAGTGATACTCAGCTTCGTGTTTTATTAGGCACTCTGGGCAGCTGCCTGCAGCGATTCACCACAATGCCGTTCTTATTCTGTAACATCAATAATGTATGTAATTTTGCATCACGGAATGATTATTCATACTGGCTGTCAACACCAGCTCTGATGCCAATGGACATGGCTCCAATTACGGGCAGAGCTCTCGAACCCTATATTAGCAGGTAAAAACCCAACCCCTTCATTTTGTAAGAGGACCTAGTGGATTGCTTAACTTGTAGGGACTGTAAGGGTAGGAAGTGGCCGTCATACTATTGGTCTCATTTTCCAGGTGTATGGTCTGTGAAGGTCCTGCGATGGCCATCGCTGTTCACAGTCAAACGACAGCTGTCCCTCCATGTCCCCATGGCTGGGTTTCTCTCTGGAAAGGGTTTTCCTTCGTTATGGTAAGAAGAAAAAAGCTGTAGCACAGTTGAAGTAATGATTATTACCTATAGAATCTTGTATAGAAAATGTGATCCTCTACCTGTTAATACGTGTAATATGCCATAGATGCTTGCCAATCTGAAAACACACTTAAAAGGGCTGGGCAATCAACTCCACAGGTAGTGTTTATTTAGCAGGCCCAACGTCCTTGGTTCCATTCCTCAGTAGTCCAGAGAATTGAGCAATCCTGGCCTTCAGGAGGTAGGTGCAGGAGGATCGAAAGTTCAAGGTTATCCTTGACTACGTAACAAGTTTGAGGTCAGGTTGGGCTACAAAAAAAAAGTCTCAATAAATAAAAGCATTAACAATAAAAGAGTAACAACTTCGATGGTGTTGAAAAGTCATAAAGCACTGAAAATAAGAGCTAGCAAGACGGCTCAGTGGGGGAAGGCACTGCCGCCAAGTCTGATGATCTGGATTAAATCCCTAAGACTTAGACGGTAGGAGAATAAGCTTTCCCAAGCGGTCCTCTGGCTGCCATACATTTGCTTGTGGCATGCGTGTATACAAACACGCGCACTCCAAACAAATATAATTTATAACTTTAAACACACATCTCAGATTCCCCACAAATCCCTAATTGTAGCATTTAAGTGAGAAACGGCTACTCTTCAATGGAAATACAATGCCTGTGCATTCATTTTTGTGATGGTTTCTTTACCTACATTGTCTGTAATGCTTTGATCACTGGGGGAGTACTTCTGAGCATCTGTGGATTCATAACAAGAAAATCGAGCTGTTTTCTTAAGGTATCTTGATTATGAAGGGGCATGTGTTTCGGACTGTGCCCCTCTGATGCTCATATGGCACTAAGAATGGGAAGAAGCCTCTTAAGAAAAGTCCTGACATTAGTGCTAAACTCAGGTTATGAACCAACCCTCCACAGTGTTAATGGCATGTATGCATCACTACTCATATTCTGCCTGGCCTTGTTAGGACAGAGCATTCGCCCTTCTTTCCTCATAGCTGTCCGCCCAATCAGCAATTAAGTTAAAAATTATATTGAGCACCCATCATGAGTCCCAACTTCTGGGCAGTAAGGACAGCAGGGACCATGTTCTTCTCATGGAGCTTATATCCCACTGGTAAAGACAGACAACAGACTGAGAGACAGAAAACAGCAGTGGTCATGGGTCTAGGTGCTGACCCGTCTGCTGAAAGACAAGGCAAGAGAGCTCACAGCTCTCTTTCCTTGGGAAGACAGTATCTCTTTCTAGAGCATGCCCAAATTGTAAATAAATCTGGATAAAACAGAAGAAAAAAATTTTTTTTTCTTTTTCCGTTCCTGTTGCTTTACATTACTGCTCCCTACCCACCCAAAACTGTTGGAAAATTGCATTTGAACTACAACAGGTAATGATTTACAGTGGGATCTTTTCATTGCAATAGTTCACAAGTGCTGGCTCTGAGGGAGCGGGACAAGCGCTGGCATCACCCGGATCCTGCCTGGAGGAGTTCCGAGCCAGTCCGTTTATAGAATGCCACGGACGAGGAACGTGTAACTACTTCTCAAACTCCTACAGCTTCTGGCTGGCTTCATTAAATCTAGAAAGAATGTTCAGGTAATATGCAATTTCAGCCTTAGTCTGACGACTGGACTGTGGAATATTCAAAGGCTGCCTGTATCTGCTTTTTATTTTTTTGACTTTCTTTTTTTATTGATTTTTATTGAGCCCTACATTTTTCTCTGCTCCCCTCCCTGCCTCTCTCCTTCCCCCTTCACTCCTCCTCCAAGATCCCCATGCTCTCAATTTACTCAGGAGATCTTGTCTTTTTCTACTTCCCATGTAGATTAGATCTATGTAAGTCTCTCTTAGTGTCCACATTCTTGTCTGAGTTCTCTGGGATTGTGGTTTGCAGGCTGGTTTTCTTTGCTTTATGTTTAAAAACCACCTATGAGTGAGTACATGCGATAGTTGTCTTTCTGTGTCTGGGTTACCTCACTCAAAATAATGTTTTCTAGTTCCATCCATTTTCCTGCGAAATTCAAGATGTCATTATTTTTTCTGCTGTGTAGTATTCCATTGTGTAAATATACCACATTTTCCTTATCCATTCTTCGGTCGAGGGTTATTTAGGTTGTTTCCAGGATCTGGCTATGACAAACAAAGCTGCTATGAACATAGTTGAAGGCATAAGTCACAAACAATCACACACCATATTGGAATTATAATTAATAATGGTTATTTATTTAAAGGGCAAAAACTTACAGATCACCGTTCCAGACAACAGCCCTCTGCACGATCAGGAAAGGAGTCTAGGAGCTGGAAGCGGAGTCAGAAGCAAGAGAGGGAGTGGAGGGCAGCCGCTGCTTTTTTAAAGAGAGAGGGAGACCATGCCCCAAATGGGCTGGTTGGTATCTAAGCAGCTATTGGCTAAAGGAGTGGAAGGAGCTCCTACAGCACCTCCCCCTTTTGTTTATGTAAGAGAGTTCTAAACCTACTACGAAATTATATACAATAAGTACAAATATCCTATTCTAACTAGCTTAAGTCTTGTATATAACTTGGCCAAGTCATGAGAGGAAAGTAACTATGTTTATATAGTCTTCAACCCCATTGAAGATCTGAGAAGGGAAATAATGTTACCTGAGTAATTAGGAAGTGCAATCAAACTTCCAGAACATGTAACAAATCACAGAGACAATTGGCTACCTGGGCAACCACCCAAAGTCATGTTTGCAGCGTTGAAGCAACCAACTTTGGCTAAGGCCTAACATAACTGACATACCATTTTCAAAGGCAAGAAACTTTTCAAAACTATCTTACCCTGTCTTGGCAGGATATGACAGTCCTGTTTTACCCATTGACAGATACTCTGTATCTTCAGTGGTTGAGGTATGGGCATTTCTTTACTCAAAGGCCAGTTCTGCCAAGAAGAAAGGTTCCAGGTGGAGTGTCTTTGGTGCTCAACATTCTCTCGGGAATAGATCGGTGTTGCCAGGAGCAATTGTGTCTCACTTCCATGGAACTCTGAGTTAGATTAAAGGCCATTTTCTACAGCTCTTTGAAGAAGTTGAAGATTATCTATCTATACTGAATATAATCTCTATGTACCTAAAGAACCTGATTAGTCTAATTATAAATGACAAACATAGATGACTACTGATCTATATAATTCTCAATACCTATCTAACTTAGACTAAGACAATAAACAACTGTGCAATAAATGAGGCTAATGACCTCCAAATGTAAACAATGTACAAGTATACATTGCAATATGGTATATATATATCAATACATAAACAATATATAAGTATCTTAATCAGAGGTAGAAATGTACATCACAATATGGTAAATATGCATATATCAATACTATATATATATCGATACATAAAAAATGTTTTAAACAGGTAGAAGCATGCATGCATACAGTAGTCAATATAATTTAACTTTGTATCAATATACAAGAATCGATACCAATATATTTGTCTAAAAACAATAACTCACAAGTATCAGTCTATTATCCCATCATCCAATTATCCCTCTTTTTTTTTTTCAAAAAGATCCCTGAGCTTATAAAATTCCTCCCCAACCCTCAACCGTATATTAATTATACACACAGGGCACAGGCCGAGGCTGAGGGAGGGCTCGTGCCAAGTCAAGCAGGCAGCTAAGCAGGAGGGGGGGGGGTCTAAAACCAAACATTTGGGTGCCAGATAGATGAAAGCATAAGTCACAAACAATCCCACACCACTTTGGAATTATGATTAATAGAATGGTTATTTATTTAAAGGGGAAAAACTTACAGATCACTGTTCCAGACAACAGCCCTCTGCATGATCAGGAAAGGAGTTCAAGCGGAGCTGGAAGCAAGAGAGGGAGCTTAGGGCAGCCACTGCTTTTTTAAAGAGAGAGAGACCACACCCCAATGGACTGGTATCTCAGTGGCTATTGGCTAAAGGAGCAGAAGGAGCTCACGCAGCACATAGTTGAGCACATGTCCTTGTGGCACGATTGAGCATCCTTTGGATATAAACCCAAAAGTGGTATTACTGGGTCTTGAGAAAGGTTGTTTCCTAATTTTCTGAGAAATCACCACACTGACATACAAAGGGGTTGTACCAGCTTGCATTCCCACCAGCAATGCAGAAGTAGTCCCTTTTCCCCACAACCTCTCCAGCATAAGTTGTCATCAGTGTTTTTGATTTTGGCCATTCTTACAGGTGTAAGATGGAATCTCAGAGTTGTTTTGATTTGCATTTCTCTGATGATTAAAGGATGTTGAACGTTTCCTTAAGTGTCTTTCACCCATTTAGATTCCTCTGTTGAGAGTTCTCTGTTTAGGTCTTTATTCCATTTTTTATTAGATTATGTGTTCTTTTGGTGTCCAATTTCTTGTGTTCTTTGTATATTTTGGAGATCAGACTTCTGTCTGATGTGGGGTTAGTGAAGATCTTATTCCATTCTGTAGGCTGTCATTTTCTCCTGTTGACAATGTCCTTTGCTTTACAGAAGCTTTTCAGTTTAAGGAGGTCACATTTATTGTTTTCTCTCAGTGTCTGTGCTTCTGGGGTTATATTTAGGAAGTGGTTCCCTGTGCCAATGTTCTCAAGTGTACTTCCCACTTTCTCTTTATGAGGTTCAGTGTGGCTGGCTTTATGTTGAGGTCTTTGATCCATTTGGACTTGAGTTTTGTGCATGGTGATAGATATGGGTCTATTTTCATTCTTTTCTACATGTTGATTTCCAGTTATGTCAGCACCACTTGTTAAATATGCTTTCTTTTTTCCATTTGATATTTTTTGCATTTTTGTCAAAAATCAGGTGTTCGAAAATATGTGGATTGATATCCGGGTCTTCTATTCAGTTCCATTGGTCCTCCTGTCTGTTCTTATGCCAATACCAGGCTGTTTGCAGTACTGTACCTCTGTATTAGAGTTTGAAGTCAGAGACTGTGATGCCTCCAGAAGTTCTCTTATTGTACAGGATTGTTTTGGCTATCCTGGGTTTTTTGCTTTTCCATATGAAGTTGAGTACTGTTCTTTTGAGGTCTTTGAAGAATTTTGCTGGGCATTGCATTGAATCTGTAGATTTCTTTTGGTAAGATTGCCTGCTTTTTATTTTTACCTGTGTATGGATGTACTTACATTAACTCTCTCACTCCTGCCAATAAAATCCTGTCTATCTTCACAGTTGCAGGTTAGAATTCTTCTGAAGTCAGCAAGTAGACTACTATTTTTCACTGTGTCAGTAAAGACCAAATGTACACATGATCTTGTCATCATTAAACATATTCAACACAATAGGGATTTATAGTAAATTACTGAATAAAAATACTAGCTGATCCTGAAGTACTATATGAGAAGACTCAATGAGTATTTAAACTGGAAAGAATAGTCTTCAAAAAGTAATCTATAGGTTTGCAGGAAAGTCTGTGTTCTGTGAATTCTGATGAAACATAACTAAAATATAAAATATTGATAATATGTTTATATATGCAAATATAAATTTATCTTTTCAGAAATTCTGTTCTATAAAGGGAGATGTTAAATAAGCTATATTTATTAATGAAACTCAAAGCAAACTAAGTATTCCCTTTTATCCACAAATCAATGAGTTCTTTCATTTATGTTTATTTCAGAAAACCTATTCCATCAACTGTGAAAGCTGGAGATTTAGAAAAAATCATAAGCCGCTGTCAGGTGTGCATGAAGAGAAGACACTGAAGAAATCAAAGAAAACAGAGCCACCTTTTTCCTTCTTGAATAGCAAAGTCATGGCTCAGTATGTGCATTTTAGTTAGGTCTTTTTTTCTCTAACCTTGCAGTGTTGTTCAGTGACGATCTGGTAGTGGCATGTTTCACCACACCAGAAAGCATTTCATTCAAGTTAGTCTGTAATGTGGGTCTGGAAACCTGTGTGGTTTCAAAGTTTCCTCTAGGAAGGCAACAGCTTTCCACAAAATATCACTGAAATCACATTCCGCTTGTGCACAAAGCAATGACTAAACCATGCCTGTGTGGAGCTTGAACTGCAGGCTAAGGGAGAGTTGGTCCAGGGGATGTTCAGTGTGTTCCTTGTCCCACTTTGACCTAAGGAATTTGGTTTCTTCCCACCTCCTTTCTGAGACCTTAGACTTCAGCTAGAGAAGGAAATGGGGGTTATACAGTACACGAGCACATCATGACAGGAACTGGATAGTCAGGCCTATTGAAATGTATGATGCCCAAGAACACACATAGATAAGGTTCATGATGTTTCAGGACTCATTTAAATATGCCCAAAGCTAGGACCAAAGGAAACTTCCTGAACGGAAACATAATAGGCTTGGATATAAAGTATGGGCTTTTTTTTTTTCCTGTTTTGTTGACGATGTCTATTTGCTATTTTACTATGGCCATAGATTGAAAGGGGATAAAATGTTTACCCTTAGGGGATTAATTTTTACTAGGATGTTATACACATACACTGAAATATTTCTCTTCATTGTTCTCAATGTACTCACAAGTAACAAGGATACTATTTACTAAATGTGCACTTTATCCTCATTCCTATATAAATACTGGCCTTAAAGAATTTCACTAGTATTTCAATAACCCAGGGAAGAATGAGAGGCATTTGCTGGTGTATCAGACTCCAAATATTTTTCTTTGATCGAAATAGTTCATGACACGATTTTACAAATTTGTTCCTTTGTTACTTTTCTAACTTATCTTTGGAACACATTAAACACACACACACACACACACACACACACACACACACACACACACACTCAGTCACATACCAATGTGCACAAAATTTTAAAATTTTGAAAAATAAGATCTATACTCAAGAAGTTCATCATCTTTAACTTCTTGTAGTCACCCCAAGCTTGAAAACTATTAAGAAAACAGAAACATTTCATAAATCAAATAGTTGTAGTAGTATTTGATGACTCATGGAGGCTCGGCATCATGAGGCGAAGCTTACATTTCTTGACCCACGAAGGTGGAGCTGGTGGTGCTGATACTTACTGTCAGGCAGGTGCTGTAACCTCAACTACTCTGTATTGGAAAATGTGACCCGAGGACACAGACAAGGGTTGACATTCTCCATAACTCACATGACAGGTGCCAAGACATTTTTACACCTGAACTAAGGTATGCAACATCTCATTTCAGTTAGGTATTTCACCTAACTTTCCTATTCAAAAACCACCCACTTGTCCATTCTAGCTGTAAAAAGAAGGAACCATCCTTGACCTGAGTAGTTGTAGCAGCAGCAGCCAGGAGCTTGTTATCAATGCAATTCCAGAATATTCCAAACCTGCAAAGTTAGAAACTGTAGTTGGAGATCAGAAGTCTCTTTCGTTTTGTTGAGAGGCATTTCATCCTATAGCCCAGGCTGGCCCCCCATCACAATTTTTCTATCTCAGCCTCCCAGAATTTTGTTTTAAAAGTTTTCCCTATGATTCTGGTGCACTCTGCTCACTAGGCAAACATCCAAGAAACTGGCCCCAACCCCTTCACCATTGCCTTTTTTAAAAAACCCACAGGTGTTTGAGTTTCAGGGAAATCCATTTTACTACCAGACTGGTGCTAATGTGAAATGGCTGCCTTCCATTTGCCCCCAGACCTCTTTTTCCTCTAGTCTTCTTATCAGTATTTGACTTCTGGGGGAAAGTCAGGCAACACTGAACACGTAAATCCCAATGAGGCCATATCAACAGCTATTCAGCCACACTTACGGTCCATACATATTACTTCCCAAATGTCTATGAGTAAATATGAAGTTAAAGTTAAGCTTCATATTGCTGGAGAAATGGCTCAGTGGCTAAGATTACTGGCTGCTCCGCAGAGGACCAGAGTACAGTTCCCAACACCCAGGTCAGGCAGCTCACACCTGCCTGTAACTCCAGCTCGGAGAGATCCAACTGGCCTCCCAGGACACCCATACCTAGGTGGCATTCAATTGCACAGGCGCAGACACATACATAAAAATAAACCTTTAAAAATCTTTAACTTGATTAACAAAACGTTTTTTTTAAATTTGGTGCTTCAACTTCAGAATTTCACAGTGTGCTAGAACAACCAACTTGTCAACTGCTTGGTTTTGCAAGATAAACATTATTAATTTATTTATGAAAGTATTAAAAATGTTTAAATTTGAATTTTATTGTTAATTTCACAAGGATTTTCTATACTTCAAATGTAACTTAACACCACTAAACTTAATTTAATATTTTCTGTATAACCAAGTTAAACTTATTTAAAATATATTGACTATTTTATGTTGTTATATCCTGAAAAAATTATGTTATATTACAATGTACTAATATTTCTGTAAATATAACTAAAGTTCTATTGTTTTTGACAAAATAAAATTGAAAGGACAACTGTATCAGGTCTTCATTCTTTTAATGGAAATAGATTTGTTTTGTTTTATAAAAATAATAGCCACTGTAAAAACAATAAGCAACTTTGAAGTTAAGAATATTAAATCTGTTACTCTTTAATATTCATTCTCACCCAAAATAACCATCAAATTAGGACAGTAGATGATAATTATAGTATTTTGAATCTCGATGGCTAAAAAATAATCTTGCTATAACTGAAAAGTGTATCTGAAAAAAGAATATCTGAACTGAAAAAAGAAAACATTTTTGGATATAAAACCCTATTAGAATTTAGAATTATTGGGAAGCGTAAATAGTAATGGCTAAAAGTCATTTAACAGGATGAAACTAAATGGATCAGATTCTTTGGATTTATATACTATAAGGCTATAGTCATAAACAGAAATGTCCACATTAGTGAGAGAAGAAAAGGAAGACCCAGCATGAATGTACAACACAGTAAAGAATAGACTCTCCATATGAATGGGGAGGAAAATGCCCTCCATACCACACACCCCTGCCCTCTCTCTCACCCCCTTCTTGAAGACTGTACTACACCATTAGGTAGGTACTCAGACATGCTGTCAAACAGTCTTGTTTAATAGACTCAGATGATGCCAGAAGATAAATGATAAATCAAGGTTATAGGAGAAGACTTGGGTTTGGTAAGTTGATTATGGATTTTTATTTTTTAAAAAATAGTCACTTCAGAAGACTTTTTGTTGAAAAGAAGGGGGGCTAGAGACAAAAAATCAACCTGTAACATTGAAGAAGTATAGGGACTAATAAACAGTAGGACCTTCATTTTTAAATGTCTTGATCACACATGATCTACCCAGCTTAACCTCTACTTACCCTAAAGGCACTGACTTGGAATGACAGAATACTACTACTTAATCTATACATGAAAAAAGATTATCACTGTAAAGTAGCAGGACACAGCACCCACAACAGGCCACTTTGGAATAAAGATTATTTTGAGAAAAAGGCACTTAAAAAGTGTAAAATAAAACTTGCATATGAATGCTAACTTCCTTGTACCAGGAGGAAGTTGTTCTTATATCCACAGTCACACAGACAAGGTGAGAAAAACAAACAACCTAGTTTAACTCCCTTCTTCCTAATCACTTATCCAATGGCCTGGGCCAAATTCCTTTGGACCAAATTCCTGGCCCCTCAAAATGTTGTCTCACATTTTTACAATTTACTACAATGGCCAGTTTCTGATATAAATTTTGCATCCCAAGTGTCTCTTTGGGCCCTCATTTCCCTATACTCAAATGCACATGCAAACATTACTAAATAAAAGTTGTATGCTTCCCTTATGTTCAGCTACTGTTTTAAGTCAACTTAACTGGATTCCCACTGAGTTCTTAATAGGGTAAAGGGAAATTTTACTTATCCTACGCCAATATTAGGAAGAATGCAAGAGTGCAATTCAGAAAGCTTGCCAAAGTATTTTGAATGATGATAACATTTCTGGGGTATCATCTGAAGCTTTCCTTGTTTAAGCTTTTGTTGTTTTGAGAACGGGGTACATTTGGTGGTGCTGGCAAGCCTGAAACTCCCCTCATCCTCTTACCTCTGGCTCCTAAGTGTTGTGATTATTGGAATAAGCCAAAGATTGGCTTTGGAATAACTTTATATTCAAGACTGCACCACTTGAGTAAATACTCTTCCCTTGCACAAGGGAGTGAGAGATTTATTCCAGAAACACAGCTCTATACAAATCTACATATGTTTGTCTCTTATACAAAATGATTTAGTGTTTGCAAGTACCCTATCTACATCCCCACAAAGACTTGAAATTGTCTCTAGATTACTTATATTTGACACAATATAGATGTGTTATACTTTATTAGCAGGGAATAACCACAATGAAAAGAATGTGTATGTTTGATATAGATGATGTCACAGGCCTCCCACTCACTACATAGCCTAGGCTGGCCCGGAACTCCAGATCCTCTAGCTTCTACCTCCCAAGTCCCAGTCCTGGGATTTCTAAAGTGCGCCAACAGGTTCAACTATGATAGGAGTAGATGGAAAAGAGAAAAATCTTTTCAACCCTGGATGGTTGATTCCAGGGATGGAAAACAGTGGATAAGATAGTTAGGCTGTTAATGAAACACGTCGTTTTTCCTGATTTGGCTTCCATTCTCTTGTCTATGAGGGAGCAAGCTTGGTTCTTGCTTTCCAGCCTTGTTCTTCCAGAGAGGAACCATAAATTGGGTGATTAGATTTGAAAGAGAGTTCTGACAGCTATTATTTTCAAGGGGGAAACTTAGCTTCCCCCTTTTCTCGGATTCTTAATTTGTAGGTTTTAGGAAAAAACAAAATTAGAGTGTTGAGGAATTACTCCCAATATTTAGTTATATATGCAAATTCTCGGGCCTCGCACGATACGCATTTTGATTCAGGCGGTTCTTTAAAACAGGCTACTAGTTTACCTTGCAAACTCGA